GTTCTATACCTCGTCAACGGCTTCCTCATATTCTACTGGAGGTTCTGGACCATCTTGCATATTTGCATTGATATATACGTTTGATTCAATCATTCGCGTCGTCTCAACTGGATATTTCGTCTGGGGGAAATATACTGTCTCATCTGCATCCGCTGCCTCGGCCGGGTATGATTTCTCAGTTGTGTACGTTGTCTGAGTTTGGGAGTATGTCGTCTCAACCGTGTAATTGGTCTCAGTTGGAGGGTACTCTGGCTGAGACGGTGGTGGATAATACTGTGAATAGTGTTGCTCTGTCTGTTGTTGTGTTTGCTGAAAACTGGGGTACGAATATTGTGAAGAATACTGAGCAGGTGGATAGGGTGGGGGATAATTTTCTTGTTGTTGTCGTTGAGTGGGTATCTGTGGGAGCGCTCTGCTCTGATATGGGGGTTGAGTAACTGATCGTGACTTTGGTGACTGATCATATCCTGTATTCGACTGTGGCTGAGGGGACGATGCATATGGTGAATATGTTGGTGCTGGGGTTGATGTGAAATCCATGTATGGCTGTGGCATTTGCGGGAATGACTGATACGGTGGTTGATACGAATCTGATTGATATGACGGTTGATAGGAAGATTGTGTCTGTGGTGGATACGAAGGTTGCGATGGATACGAAGGTTGCGATGGATATGAAGGTTGCGATGGATATGAAGGTTGCGATGGATATGACGTTTGCGGTGGATATGCTGTTTGTGAAGGATATGAGTGCTGCGACTGTTGTTGAGGAATGAATTGAAGCTGATCCTGTGACTTTGAACTGAACGAAGAATGAGCAGAAGGTGCTGCAAACGAGGAAGGCCTCGTCTGCGGGCGTAGCGAAGTCGGAAGGTGCTGGCTGCTTTGAGAAGGCGATGAAATCGAACCTGGGCGAGGTGGCGTAGGAGGTGGCACCTGACTACCATGAGTATTCCCTGATTGTCGACGAGGCGGAGTAGGAGGCGGCACTTGGCTTTTTTGAGGAGGGGAGCGAGGTGGTGTTGACAACGAATGTCGTACATTATGTTGTTGTTGTTGTTGTTGTTGTTGTTGTTGCTGCTGCTGCTGCTGCTGTTGTTGTTGTTGTTGTTGTTCATATCTACTGAATGCAGTATCTGTAAGTGTTTGTCTACGTGGACCCAATATTGATGATCTATTTTGTGGAGGAGTGCCTCCATCCCTTCTCGACAATAATGAAGGGAGAACTTCATTGGACTGCTTTAAAGCTAGATTAGGATTAAATTTTAACATAGCCGCCATTATGTCAGAAACGGTCCTTGTCTCTACCGATTTCCAATTGGTATATGCTTCATCCGAATCAAAATCCTCCCTTTTAGCAGTGAATGGCGAGCCACGATTTACGTGGTTGATGAAAACTCTTAGATCTTCAAGAGCTGCCTTATATTGGTTCGTGAAAATAAATAGAAATGTAATAGCGTAGATACGATTAAGTCAAATACCAATAAAAATGTAATTCAATCAAGTACAAAGTATGCTAATTAGCAACAAACAAGCAAACCCCCCACTCTCAAATATTCATAAGAAAATGTCCTACTTGTTCAGTGCATTGCCTCTTTATTGCATTGATGTCCTTTTGTATTTGATTAGCAGGCACATTGAACATTGCCTGTACTATTTTAACCATTGCCATATCATCTGCATTGGAGCTAGTGACATTAGTGTTGACCACTTTATTCGATTTAGCGCCGCCAATTTTATTCTTATACGAATTCAGTTTAGCCATCAATTCAGCATTAGCAATTCCCGCACATTCCCTGGACTGTAAGGCTTCCTCCAATAACCCGACAAATATACCAACATGTTCTGTCAATTTGTCCTGCCATGTTATCGGTGGCTCAAAGGATGCCTTCTTGAGCTCCACCTGGGCAGTCTGGAGATAAATCAAAACCAAATCCTCAATCTTACTATTAGACTTTAATTGTTTCTGAAATGCGGGTCGCGAAAGGGCATCATAGAATATGCTAATTTCCGTCTTTAAATATGGTTCCCGAAAAACTGGATTTGGGTCACGTCCGTCAATTATATTTTTTAGTCTTGTCTGTAAGGCCTTGATTAACTCTTTCGGAATTCTCTGGCGGCCTTTTTTTTCTTCCTTAAGAAATTCTCCTAGCTGAGATAGACCATGAGTCACAGAACTGTGTAGTTGATCCAGGTGACTTATCTTTTCTTTGTTAACTGAGTATCTTTTGCTATTAGGATCACCATGCGACTCTGGTGCTGAGGGAACTGCTTTAGGTTGCGTCAAAGAAGTTAAGTACGCAACTCGCAACGCATACTGGTAGATCAGGTCTTCAGTAATCACATTATTTCCACCGCTCCCTGACATGCGCTGTGACTTTCTCTTCCCGGAAGAGCCATAACTTCTTCTAAGCGAACTGGACCCACTCTCCATAGAGACTGGTTAACCCTTCCTACTTCAAAAAAGCGAGTAAACATAGTTATATTTTCATGTCACGCGACTCTTACTATAAATAGATAGCTGAGTGGCGTAAATACAACAATATAAAATTGTGTAAATTGCGGGGAACAATTAGATAATAAATAGTTTATTAATAATGTTTCCATAGTTATAGAATAAATACATAAGGAATTTACAATTTTCTTCTATAAAGTTTCAATAGACTAATCATCTCCGGATGATTATTCCTCTCTGCCGTTTTCATACAATCATCGTCTACTGGAGCGCCAGCTTCAATTAATCTCTTTACAATCTTAATGTTTTTCCCTTTGACTGCATATATCAGAGCAAGGTTATCTTTAACTGCAGCTTTGGCTTTATATTGGAGTAATAGCTCAACCATGTCCAGACAACCCAATTGAGCAGACTTTATAATCGGATAGTTGTTGTGATCGGTAGAAGATCCACCCCGCTTAAGTAAAATCTTTACGAGTTCGTAATTCTTTTGATCCGGCACTTGGAAAAGAGATTGTGGAATGGGCCGTTTAGAGAATGATAACGGTTTAGGCTGTTCGCCGTTCGCTTTTAATTCCAATTGATAGCTAGCGTCCAATTGGAAAAGAATGTCTTTGTTGAAGAAGCGTCGGCGTAATCCTCGATAAAAGGCCAGCTCATGATTGTACTCATATTTGTGAAGTAGCCAGGCTGTCTTGACGCTGGTCTGACAGTTAGCTGCATTGTAAAAAGTCCAAGAGACCAGCGGGAAGTGATGGTTGCCGGATAAAATAAAAATTTGTTGAAGGACTTCGGCTGGAAGCTGTTCTATAGAAGTAGAATTATGATAATTGAGCATCTTGAGCCATCGCTCATGTAGGTGTAAAATTGAAAGGAAGCTTCGTCGATTTGCAAACTATAAACTTGGATTGGCTGAGAAAATGATCGGCGACGCAATAAGGCAAGGAAGAAGGGTAAAAAGTCAGAAAACTCCGGTTGGTGGACAGCAGACAAAATTACCGTGATAATAATGACATTAATTAATTCAAATTTCTCTGTGTCACATGCATTGATTGTAAATCCATGTCATCTACTTAGCATTAGATTCATTTGCAATGTTTCTCGGCGGATCACGAATACTTGTAGCCAGTCACCAACGTTTTGTCTTCACTGCGCTACCGGTTTACCGTAAATTCCATGTCTCAGTTGCGGCCTTAAAATTATCACCATTTGATCCAAACGCGGACGTCCCTATCCAACCACAGGCTGAACCAACTCCTTCGGACAATCCTCAACAGGACCCTCGCTTACTACATGAGGACCCTTACTTCCAACATATGGTCAACATAATAATGCGTGATGGCAAGAAAGCCCGTACACAGAGGATAGTTTCAGATGCGCTAGTCTACATCCGAACTGAAACTAATTCAGACCCATTGCTCGTCCTAAAAGAAGCAATTATTAAAGCATCTCCAACAGTGAAGTTGTATAATAAAAAGAAAGGAGCAAAGGCTGTACAAGTACCAACACCGTTGAATGACAGACAGAAGGCGTTTAGGGCTATAAAATGGATAATAGATGCGTCGGATAAGAGACAGGATCATAGTTTTAGCGTTAGGTTGGCTCAAGAGATCTTGGCCATTGTGAATGGGAGTAGTTCAGTGTTGGCGAAGAGAGAACAATTACATCGGTTAGCAGTTACCTGTAGAGCAAATTTGCCTATTAAATGGTGATATTACTTGGGCAATTGTTTTATGCACTGGTTCAATATAGAAGTATGAAGTGGATCACTATTACCGTTAAGTTTTAGTCTGTGCGCGTGAAGGTTTGAATTGCCTGCGAATCGTTATTGACAGTCATTAAATAGTTACTCCTTTCGATTAATTTTTGTCTAACTGTCTAATTGCGAATGCCTAAACCGTGACATGAGCAAATGAGCAAATGATTCGAACTGTGTAGACGTTTCACGAGTCTCCAGAAAACCATCGGAATGTGCTGTATAGTAGCGGTTCCTTTTTCCAAATCTAATATCTTCTCTTAAAATAAATGAACAAATTGATTATTATTACTAGATAATCGAGCAGACATAGATCAAAAATTATCCGCGAAGCTTGCCCTTAATACCGATACAGGTTACACTACACAGTACAAGTGAAACTCGATATAAGAAGCTCTTGATACAAGAAACACTAATTAAAATTTGATATAAGAAAGTTGAGCTGAAAAACAGTCTATATAAAATTATCTCTATATAAGAAAGTTACTAATAAACTCTCGGTATAAGAAGGATTCTAAAATTTTTTACTATGGTTCCCGATTACTTTCTTATGTCGAGAGCCACTTGTAGTTAAAAATTATGACACGCCCATTCATCGATAGGGTCGGGTCTTATCTTTATAAGGAAAACGTTATCGTACGACTTGAGGAATTATAATGTACCATGCCAACGGGGCGAAATCCTGCGTAACAGGCACTTGTTTTACTGCATAACCGATATGAAGAACCCCCCACTTTACTCATTATATGATACGCATACTCCTCGCAACCATAGAAAGACACTAAAAAAATGCCATTCAAAACTTCATCCGCCAGCAATCCTGTGCCGACTCAAGCACGCGTTGATGCTCTGAAAGCGAAATATGCAGCCGCTCAACAAGAGCAAGTCTTCACCTTCTATGACTCGCTCTCGCCAGAAGAGCAAATGGCCCTATACGACCAACTTTCTAAATTAGATGTAGATCGTGTTAACCGCATTTACAAAAAGGCTGTTTCCAGTCTCGAATCCACCACCAATCTGAGCATATCTCCTCTTCCTAACGATTGTTTCGATTCGGTGTTGGACGCTACCGAATCGAAACAAAAAGAATGGGAATCGATCGGATTGAAATCGATTTCCGAGAATAAAGTTGCCGTGATTTTGATGGCTGGTGGACAAGGGACTAGACTGGGTTCATCGGCACCTAAAGGCTGCTACGATATCGGATTGCCATCACATAAATCACTGTTCCAGCTACAGGCTGAAAGAATTTTACGCTTACAAAAGATTGCCAAAGACACTACTGGTACGCAAGAAAAGGTGGTTATTCCCTGGTATGTTATGACGAGCGGGCCGACGAGGGCCGCGACAGAGGCATTTTTTCAAAGTCACGGATACTTTGGATTGGAAAAAGAAAATGTTATTGTCTTTGAGCAAGGTATGTAGTAGGTATTGTGGTTGTGGTCATTTCTACTTGAACTGTTTTGGAATGTAGTTTACGTATGGCTAACATACAAGCTTGGCACTTTTTTTCTCTACTGTAGGAATACTTCCGGCTCTCACAGACGATGGCAAAATTTTCTTAGAAACCAAATCCAAGGTGTCCAATCTTCTCTTATTTCTAGAGCTTTCCCTTATTTGCTTAAACTAACTTTATATCGATATGTATTTTACTTTTCGGATTCCCTGCTCTAGATCGCCGTGGCACCAGATGGCAATGGTGGTATCTACGCTGCCCTTCGTAATGAAAATGTTCTTACCGACCTCACCTCTCGTGATATTCTTTACGTACACGCATACTGCGTTGATAACTGTCTTGTTCGCGTAGCAGATCCTGTATTTATTGGTTATAGTATCTCGAAACATGCTGACTGTGGTGCTAAAGTTGTCAGAAAGGCCTATGCAGAAGAACCAGTTGGAGTGATAGCGTTGAAAGATGGTAAATTCAATGTAGTCGAGTATAGTGAATTTGATCCTACTTTAGCGGCTTTGACTAAAGCTAACGGCCAATTGGAATATGGGGCTGCAAATATTGCCAATCATTTCTATACGGTGGATTTTCTAAAAAGTGTCGAACGTTTTGAGGGTGAATTGGAATATCACATTGCTAGGAAGAAGATCAAACATGTTGATTTAAAGACAGGAGAGCTGCAGTCACCAATGAAACCAAATGGTATGAAGATGGAATTATTTGTGTTCGACGTGTTTCCGTTCACGGAGCGTATGTCTGTTTTAGAGGTTGATCGCAAAGAGGAGTTTTCTCCATTGAAGAATGCACCAGGAACGGGAGTCGATGATCCGGATACTAGTAGAAGGGATATTATTAACCAGCATGTGGGGTTCGTAGAGAGAGCAGGAGGCGAAGTTGTACCTGGAGCTGGAGAGACACAGGATAAGTTGACTTTTGAGATAAGTCCCTTGGTTAGTTACGCCGGTGAAGGATTGGAGGATTTGAAAGGAAAAACTATCCGGACACCAGTAGTCATTGAGACTGTGAGCGATATCGAGAAACTTGTTGCTTTATAGATGAATGGAATGTTTAATGCGAATTATGTTGACTCTAATCGTTTAGATTTTACACTTTCTGTGATATTTAATGTTACCAATAAAAATCAAACAAGAATTCTAATCTTGACAGTCAGACATGCGTCTTTGTAGATGACCAAATTGCTTGTGAGCCAACAAGGGATTGATATCTTAAATAAAGACAGTAGTTGCCATGAGACTTTCCGAGTTGTTTCTTGCAAGTCAAACTTTATTGTAAAATTTCTGTGCCACTAATGATTCGATTTATTTTAATGCAGTATTTCCTCTATTTATATTGATATTCCCTTATCTGACTATCTAACCTCAACAAAATAATTGATATAGAATATATAGTACATGAGTATGAAATCTTCTCGACTTACGATAATAAGATAATCATAGGCCACATAAACAGAGGAATTATCAGATTATCATTCTGAAGAGAAAATGCCTCCAAAAGCGTGGATGCAACAGCAACAATAATGTATGGAATCCATTGATTTGGACGCCCACTAAGCAACCCAACGAGATATCCTCCCAGTAAATCAACAATTAGAAATGCCAACGATCCCTCTATTGTTTTCACGGTACCTGACCATCTATGTTTACCAAACTTCTTTCCTATTATTGATGCCTACAGGGAATAGCAAAAAAAATTGGTATGGACATCAATTTTCGTTGCCGATAACCAAGTCTAGAGAGAGAGAGTAACCCTTACCATAGCATCACCAAGTCCAAGAGTAATTATTCCTGATACTGAAGCAATAGGTGAATTTCTAAAAAAAAACAATCAAATTAATAACTGTCAAACTCATTATTTCTTAAATTGTTCTATAGTATACTCACCCTTGCAGCCATACACATGCCGCACATCCGACTAATAAATACATATGACTCAAAATACATGGACCTGAATCACGACTATCTACAAACTCACTCAGGAATATATGAAGTTTGGCACCGACGGGGTACACTGCAAAATATCTCAAATATTCACAATAGATAAAGGCAGAAACTGCAACACTAAAGGCGAGACTTATGAAATCGGGCTACAATGAATGTATAATGTTAGTCCTGCCGGCGTAAAGGCAAACCATTGTGTGAATCAGTAGATACGATAACTAACCTCGAGAAAATAGCCAGGTATAAACAACAAAACCGCCAATCCATGAAAATACTTTCTTTTGGTGTTTAACGAAAAACTTCGCCTCGAATATATCAAATTAATATACACCAGAATAGCTGCGACTACGGTGAAGATCCAGTAACACACAAGCATGATTCGTGTGGGTGACTCGATTACAAAGTTAATCACCCTGCAATGATATATAGTCTGTCAATCACTAATTATCGTATTAAAATGGTCCACTTTGACCCTGCTCCAGAATTATTTGCCCCAATCTAACCTTCATTCCCTTACCAAAAATACGGATTCTCCTCAATCATCAGCTCGACCCACTGCCCGATGCCACTTACAATTACGAATATGCTCCCCAAAAACACTACAAATCCTACAAATTTCTTCTCGTTTGCAACCACTCTAAAATGTTTGCTCCTCCAACTTGGCTGCTGGGCCAATCTGCGTGATCTCATTAGTACCGGCGAGATCAATATACCAACGATAAGGACACCCAACATTAAGCCGATGTGAAATGGTATTATCGGAGAGCGAGGAATCCTTGCAAACGCTGGAAGAGAAAGGAGGGGATACTACTAGGTAGGTGTTGGCAAATTTGAGTGAAATGTAAAAAAATCAGGGGGCGGGAAGTGTCATGATGGAAGACAAAAGTTACCTTCTTCAAAGTGAGAACTGATGCTTCAGTCGCGAGAAATGTTATAGATTGGGATACAATTGATAATTCACCAAGAGTGAAGCTCCGCTTTAAGATTGTTGCAGCACAATATAATGTAGAATGGTAGATTATTTGGGAGAAGATAGCAATTGGCCACGGATATTCTAGGACGGCAATGAAAATTAGTTTGCGAAAAGTAATAATGCTAATTACAATCTGAGAATGTATCTAAAAACTTACTTCCAAATAACGGGAGTAACCCACTCTTTGACATTACCAGGTATACTAACGTTGACAAAACGCTCATTGTTATAACGGATATGATTACATTTCTCCGCTGTGTATGAAACAATTTTGACATGATCATGTGAATCAGTATTCCATGTCCCATCAGAATAAATAACTCCAAATAGGCCTGAAAGAGCGCTATTAAACAGTAAATGCATGAACGCCTCAATATCATTCAAGCGAATTGTAATGCAATATCAACATAGAGCACACACAAACTATTTTGTCGTCGCCGTATGTTTTCCGAGCGTCTATTACTTTTGCCCCAGCTATAATAGGCATCAATAATACTGCATAAAATGAGCCGTCGTCAACGTCTAGTCTAATGGCAGAAGTATTTAGCAAATACATGATGAAAAAAGAAGCAAAGAACAAAATGCATATTATTGAATCGAGACCTGTAGCATTTATTATCTGTTCCCCATAATTTGTGCGAATCTTCAACATGGCAAGGTAGATATATCGAATACACGATCCAAATTCCAACCCATAGCAACAGTAGATCTGCCATTGTAAAATAAGCAAATTTAGATAGCTAAAGAAAAGTAGTATTCCCAATAAGGGTCATTTTAACTATTAACGTCAAATCCACAAATTGCTTAATCTTGCTTTTCTTTTCCTAAACGTGTTTCATTCTACCAATTTTCGGCAAAAAGCTCCATTTGTTGCATGATGAAATCATCACAATTTTCCCCTCTTTTGTTGCACGCCCCACCGTAAAAAATACGAAAACGCCTACTAACCTAAACCCTCAATTGTTCCCGCCTTACCATTCCCCAAAAATTGGAGAATCCTATAACTCATAATCAGCGCCCCGGCAGACACAATCCCCCGCTCAACAGAACTAGCGTGTCCGTTACGCGCGACCTTCATTCTGCCGCCAACTCTGCCGCCAGCACCGACGGTCTCACCACCGCGCCTATGTTCGTCTTCAGAAGAAGCTGAAGAATCCGAAAGCGAAAAATGACTTCGCTTTCGTGGAGTCAAGAATAATGTTGGGCGTGCTGTTGGAGGCAAACCGGTTTTGTGAAAAGTTTATGCGCCGATAAAATGGGCGCAAAAAAAATGCGTCGTGAAAGGGTAGCAATATTAATATCGTTAGCAATTTAAGCAGGTGTAATAAGGTCTTGCCAACCAAATTGAAATATGATGATCATGTCATTAGGCATACTTAATACTAATACAGTAATAAAGCAACCAACTAGTTACTATTGGTCGAAATTTTTGGTAGTTATTTTAATTACCGATATTAGTATTAGTATCAACGTTGTCGAGCGTTTAATTTCTTTTGTAAGCTTTTTTGCCCGTTCAGCCGTTAAGACAACTACCGAAGACACACCAGCGCCGCAAATATATCTCGCTTGTGATGTATCCCATCATCATGCTCACAAAAATCATGTCATGTGAAGCGGTAAAGAAAAATGTATAAACCGATTATAAAAGCTACTGCGCCTAATAATAACAATGAACGCGAAATGCCGATGGTCAATATAAAAACTGTCATATTTTCGGCAGAGAACTAGAAAGGATCACAAATGGCCAAAAAAAGAGCATTGCACCCGGCAGCATTCAATGTCAGTGCTCCTGAAAAAGAATGCAAATAACCAAAAGAAGGACCGGCAAGTCGGTCACAAAACCCCTAAACACTAATAAAGACGACAAAAGATTAAAAAATGGCCATTTCTGCTGCAGCAGAGTATGTATTTGCGCACGTGAAGAATGCGCGAAAACGCATTATTTGTGTTCCTTATTCAACTTGCAATAACGATACGCCGTTTACTGTACGTTGATTTTATTACATAATAAGTCAAGTGCTAAAGACGCTACACCAATGCTATTAGTATTAGTACCACTTAGTTGCTGAGTACAAAGAATTCATTTTTTACAATGACAATACTACCTATTATTTATTCAATCAACTTTCATCCATAACGACAACGTCTTCGATAGCATCAGCACCAAGCTTTAATCTGATATACTCTTTTAGTCTGTCGTTCTCATATTCCAGTGTTCTAACGTTGTCTTTCGTGTCAGTGTTCCCACGGGCCTTGTTTTCGCCTTTTTCGTGATATCTTATTTGCACAACATCGTGAACAGCTTCACCCAAGTGGTTATCTTCACCCAAGATAGGAGACATCGAAACGGATAATTTTTTCTGTTTTTCGTTGAATAAAATGGATTGAATACTAGGCAGAAATTTTACACTGTCGAATCTTACGGGAATAGACGTGGGAGTGGTGGGTGTCAAGGGAGATACGGCCGTGACGGATGACTGAGAGCAAGGTGGCGTTGAAACATTGGACAAAAGATCCATGATAGTCGAATAATTGTGATATTTGCGTGTAGAAGAGTGCGAAGTTACTTGCGTGCTGTAACAAGGAATCGACGTGGAACTGGTTTGTTTTGTTGGCGTATGAAACTGTGATGAAAGAACATTGCATGGTTCTTGGTCGGAGAACATTGGTCGTAAATGTGCATTTTGCAAGTCAGTAACCGAATGCATATCTTGTGATCGTGTGCCATTACCTCCAGCATCCAAAGCCGATTGATCAAGCAAGCGCAAATTTGAATATCTGCCGTAATTTTCTGCATGCAGTTGTGCAGCATTATAACGTGTATTTTGCGGGTTATTAGCGTCTTCATCATAATGCAATTTTTGGCGCGTACAATCTGATTGCGTTGAGTAGAAACTATAAAAAAGAGGTATTTGATTCTGCTTGACGAAAGAATGGCTGGTAGCGGAAAGAGTGCTGCCGATTGCCGCATTATTGTCAGTACTATCATAAACATTATTGTAATCGTTTTCATAATACCTCTCTGATTTGTCGTAAATATTGTCAATTGTCGTTATCTTGTAACGAAACTCATTGCCTTTTTCATTGTCGCGAAATTTCTCGTTTCGCTTTCTCTTCTTTTTCATCTCCATGCAGTCATTATCCTCATCATTATTAACATGGCGATCAGACTCTATTTCTTCATCCTCATCGTCTTTCCTTCTACTTTCTTTAAATCCTTTAGCATGGGGGTTGTTCTCTTTCTTTAACGCATTTACCTGTTCATTCTGATAATGTGTTACAGCAATAAAAATTGTTTCGTCAAATTTAAACGTTTTTACGTCATTATTTTGGCCATGCTTGACCATTTGAATACGCGGTTGGTATTTGTAAAATGTCGTCAAACCAAAGTAACCGCTAGGGAAATTGTTTGGGCATGATAGAGAAGAGGGTGATGATGACAGGCTAGTGCGATTAAACAGTTTCACTTTGGCAAAGTTGACGCCTCTTTCCATCCAATACCGCCCTAGTTAGGTAATAAAAGTGTGCGTTACTCATTGTGCGCATTAATATTTTAAAATGTGTTAACAAAAAGAGTAAGTAAACTCGCAAATCATAAATATTCTGATGCTATTATGCGTTATTACACGTCCATCCCAACAATTATCATTTTATTCTCGCCGTTAATTCATACCCGATTGCGGCGATTCAGGCTGAAGATAAGGGTGACCAAAAACTTGATCCGTTCTGCATTCTTGTTTAACGGCTTTGCCTAAACTATGTTGTGTAGTTAATTCTGGTGAAAACTTTAGTGTAATTCCTCCTGATTTTGAATGTTCAATGGTATTTTCTTTTCTTCTTTTATTTCTTTTGTCGAATCCAATGCACACCCACTTGCCATTTCTCCACCTGAATCTTGAGTGCGAAACTGGTATAAAATCGAGGACAAACGAGTACGATGCTGATGGCGAGAGATTAATGGGCGTGAATTTCAGGGAAGGAAATAAGCATCTGCCAGTCTTTGTAATTATCATTTCATTTTCCATGGAACTAAATTGACGCCAAAGGCCATGATTTTCGAGATGAAGGGATTCGATAGGTGGTGGCAGAAAAGCACATGACGACGTATGAGACAACGGCATTGTTGAAATGAAAAGGAAATTGGGTGCACTAGTCGACGTAAGCATTTGCGTTGGATTATTGCCGTATTTCTTGCAATGATTGTCTGCTGTTCTTTCATCGTCCTTGACCCGTTCTGGTTTTTCGTCGGCTATAAGCTGTTGGTTCGTGCTTTTGTGGGCTATGTTAGTCTCTATCGGTTGTCGTTTTTCCAGTACCGATGCGGGCAACAAGTCGGACGCGTGTATCAAATAGTTGATGTTCATTTTGCTGCTGCAGCGTCGCAAATGTGCCATTTAAATAGAGTTGACAAGTTAAATATGACATAGGAATGTGATAGCCTTATCCAACTCAGTTGAAATTAGTCAATGTGTTTGTTGTTATGCAGCGCTGATATCTGCCCTTAATGCGTAACTTTTCGTTTATTATGACAGCTTGGCATTGATATAACTATGATAAATAACTACTAAATTAAAATCACAACGAATAGTATTTGTATATTTTCGTTTGAACACCCGAATATGACGATAAAAGTGGCAAATAACGTCCAGATTGCATAACAATGACCTGTTAACTACCATAGTCGATATAATATCATTTGTCTACAAAACGCATAATAGTAAGTAATCGTGATAATTAATATTGCGAAAGCTCGATAACGTAATGCTTACGTTCGCAAATTAAGAGAATATCAGTTAATTTATATTGCATTTGTTTAGAATACTGCATACCCATAGATAGCAAAGATATCTCTCTCTATTATGATCTATCCGACGTATGAAATTAAATAATCAACAAGTATGTCTGCATATACAGGTGATTTAAAGCTCATCGCAATATCCTGTCTAGTTTAAATAAATTACTTGTTTTAGACACTTAGTGTTGGAATATTCAGAACTTACGTGTGTAATGGCTGGTTGCCACGAGATGATTCCCGGCCGTCGGCTAATCAAAGATATTACAAAATTCGGAGAATTGTGTAAAACGCAGGATCTCAATTAACCATTACTTATTAGCATAAACTCCGCATGAAGTTTTTATTTGGAATATTAAATAAGTTTATATGTATGCCGAGTAGATAAAACGTAAGTTATAGATTGTAATCTTGTAATATGATATGTGCATTTAATATAATAAACAACATTTGGAGTGGAGTAAACATGCTCAAGTCCTAATAACCCCATCAGCAATTGATGATCGCCAATTCTTCGCTCGTTCAAACCCATTTTTGCAGTAGTTATAGTCACGGATAGCCTGGTAAATCTGTTCATCCGCATTCATTACGAATGGGCCATGTTGAACAATTCGCTCCTACAATCGATTAATATACATGTCTGTTAACACATATCAAGTAACTATAGATACCAATACATATACTTCATTATACTTACGTTAAGCGGCTTGCCAGCAAAGAGAACAAACCGCAAATCGTCTTCCCGTGCCTCAACATTCAAATGATCACCTTCATTATCATCGAGAAACAGCACATGAGCTGTTTCGCCTTTGTATTCAGTTTCTCCAAAATATCCAGATCCCTTAATTACATAAATAAATCCTCTGTATTCCTTTGGTATTTCCTGCCTGACTTTTTTCCCTTTGACTAACGAAAAATCAATCATCAACGATGGTGTCCGCGTGAACACCGGTGATTGCACTCCATGTGATTCGCCTGCAATTACTTTTATCTCAACACCCTCTTCTGGTTGGGCTCGTGGAATATCCTTATCTTTGAGATCTTGATAACTAGGTTCAATCATCTTTTGGTCAGCAGAAAGATTGAGCCAAAGTTGAATTCCACGAGAGGGAGTGGGAGATGCTGGCATTTCTGCGTGAACTATACCTTTGCCAGCAGTCATCCATTGGATATCACTTAAGAATAAGATAGGGAGCAGAAAAAGTATGGCAATGATGAGTAATCAAATCAATTTGATGATTTAAGTTATTGTACTTACCCTGGCCCAATGATACCCTTATTTCCAGCAAAGTCTTCGTGAGCTATGGCACCTACAATTAATTCATTTATTTGACGTTCGATTGTTGTCGAAAAAAAAATAGTCTTTATTTATTCCTCAAGTCGAATTACCGACCTTCTAAGAGATATGTCACCGTCTCAAATCCTCTGTGCGGATGATCTGGAAATCCGGCTGGTGGGGCTACGGTGAAATCATCGCACATTAGGAACGGATCCAAATAACTATGACCCCCGCCAATTGCTCTGCGAACTGTTGCACCAACACCCTCTGGTCGAGCCTAAGGAAGAATTACGAATTCAGAGGGCATGTCCAATGTAAATGACATTGCAAGGTTATTACCTACTTTTGCAAATAAGGATTTTGAAATTGTACGAGCAATGCTTCCTGCCATTACGATACAAATATGCTAGAGACAAGTCACTTCTTGATTCCTTCGTTCCTCCTTATATATGCAGGCACCTTTTTGATTCATAATTTTTGATTTCTAATATTAATACAGATAGTAATATTATTAATATTATTAATCTGTCCGATGATTAATCTGATCATAAAATTTAGTAATGTTCTGGTCCATTCTGGATTTAGTCTGTTTCGGGATTGTCACTATTTGCTTCGATTTTATCACATATTAACATTATAATTTATACGGATTATTGTAACGGGACAATATCGAAGTCCTTGTAGCACTAATAATATAATAATAATTAATGTGGCGGATTAAAACGAAATCGGATTAAAACGAAATTTTGGTTTCCTTGAAACCCACATATACTCTTTTACTAACAAATGGTACCTAAATCCTAACCCAAATTCCAAAAAAAAATTTCGTTTTAATCCGATTTCGTTTTATTAATACTACAATTAACAGTAATTGTGACTGTTAATTTAGATTTGTTACAAACTTCTTTGATAATCCCCAAAGTAGTCTTTTTATAAACCGATTTCGCTCAGTTTGCTACAAGTTAGTAAATTTGCCAAACAGTTCGTAATCATAGTTATTCTCAATGCAGCAAACTCAGATACATCCGATCGCAAGATTATATTAATGAACTTTGTAAATGCATGTCAATATTGAAAAATCGATTAACGCAACTATAATGGGTTTATCGTCAGAGTGCTTTTTTGAAAATGTCATCGAAATTACCGATAAAATGAGGGAACCAATTGATATGAAAAAGACAATAAACGTGTTTGTTTCATCAGATTTCATGCGTTTAAATACTCTCTATGTGGTATCAATTATGAGAATAATCGAAATCTAAAAATCCCCAACTTTCATTATCAGATAATAACAGAGAACGTCTTAACTATGTCAAACTAGCCCCAATCTTTCGATAACGGGGATAAATACTTTGGATCTTTACAGTGTATAATCAATCAACTGGATGATCTTAAAGAGGTGACGTTCTGTATTACGCCGAATGAACGCCAATCTGTATTACTAACAAATAAGACTTTGACATAGCGCCATGTAAAACGATACATTTACGTTAATTTAGTTAATTTATTACCGTCGTCCCTGTTTATTAAAACTATATTATGCGATCAGGAAATAGCGAATAGTTCAGCTGGAAAGCCGATAAGGAAATTGGGAAGTTGCAAAAGGGGGTATGCAATGATTTATCACTATTCGATCTTTCATTCAGTTCTTGGTGCAACCATAAATGTCAACGTTTTTTTTATGTAATTGACGCCCACGAGAAACATGTGCTAATAAGAAGCTATTTCCCACACATCTATTTCCCCACTCAACTCAAACTCAAACTATGGCCGACGACGCATCAAACGGGGGGCCAACAACTACTGCTCCAGATCTTCGCCTTCTCGTGGTGTCTAACCGTCTGCCGGTGACCATATCTAAGAATGAAAAGGAGTACAACTTCAAAATGTCTTCTGGCGGTTTAGTGAGTGCGTTGAGCGGTGTAAAGAAGCTAATGACGTTTACTTGGATTGGTTGGCCTGGTCAGTCTCCTATTAAAAACATGTAGACTAGAACAATGCACGAGAACGTGGCGGTTGAATTGATTTTCGTGGTCCGTTTAAATGTTGCCATGTAATCAATTAATCCTCACCTAGTCTTGTCTTTAATCTCGATTGAGTTTCTGTTTTCTCTGTCTGATGTGTTCCAATTGATGATCTATGTGGTAGGTATCAATGTGCCCGAGGAAGATAGAACCCAAGTGATTAGCAAACTAGAAGAAAAGTCTTGTCTGCCCGTGTTTATCGACGACGATGTCGCCGATCGTCATTATAATGGCTTTTCAAACTCCATTTTATGGCCCCTTTTCCATTACCACCCTGGTGAAATCTCTTTCGATGAGGGCGATTGGGAAGCTTATCGATGTGTTAATAGTATGTTCGCCGAGTCTGTCGCTCAAATAGTACGAGATGGAGATTTAGTATGGGTACAAGATTATCATCTGATGCTACTTCCGAGTATGCTTAGAGAGAAAATAGCCGGCGTTAAGAATGTGAAGATTGGCTTCTTCCTACATACGCCATTCCCTAGTAGCGAGATCTATCGGTATGTCAAGTCACCAGTTGAGGAAGCATATTCTGATTGAAGAGATTTCCATTCCACTTACCCGATCATTGTCAACATTTAGTATTCTACCTGTCCGTAAGGAAGTCTTGGACGGGGTTTTATCCTCTGACTTGATCGGGTTCCATACGTATGATTACGCAAGACATTTCTTGTCGTCTTGCACTCGGATATTAGGATTATCCACTATGCCTAATGGCATCGATTATGAAGGCAAACACGTGCATGTTGGAACTTTCCCAATAGGCATTGATCCGGAGAAATTTGAAGAAGTATGTTTAACGAATGATGAATTAGTGTCGTCTTTAGATAGTACCATGACATTTAAATTCGTACCGCTGGCTTGCAGGGCCTGAAGAACCCAAGTATTCAAGAACGGATTGAAACATTAGAAGAAAAGTTCAAGGGTATCAAACTTATCGTCGGGGTTGATCGATTGGATTACATCAAAGGGGTTCCGCAGAAATTCCATGCTCTAGAAGTATTCTTAACTAAACATCCTGAGTGGATAGGAAAAGTTGTCCTCGTACAGGTCGCTGTTCCCTCTCGTCAAGATGTGGAGGAATATCAAAATCTGAGAGAGGCTGTGAATGAACTTGTTGGGAGAATTAATGGACAATTTGGCACGGCAGAGTTTATGCCTATCCATTTTATGCACAAGTCGATTAATTTCGACGAGTTGGTTGCATTATACGCTGTTGCCGACGCGTGTCTTGTATCCTCAACAAGAGACGGAATGAACCTGGTATCCTACGAGTATATTGCATGTCAGAAACAAAGAAATGGCGTGCTAATACTCAGCGAGTTTGCTGGAGCGGCACAGTCACTGAATGGTACAAATTTTGAATTCTTTTGTTAGCGAAAGAAGGACAACGTAACGTCATCTAACCTTTTTGGTGGGGATCAATGTAGGATCTATTATAGTCAATCCGTGGAATACCGAAGAACTTGCAAATGCTATCCACGAAGCAGTTACAATGTCAGAATCTCAACGAAAGTCAAATCACCAGAAACTATATCGATATGTAACGAGATATACGGCCGCATATTGGGGCACGAGCTTTGTTAATGAATTGAGGGTAACTATAGATACCGTCAGTATTCGTCTGATGTAATACGCTCGCTTATAATTATTCCGTTTAATGATTCCCCGGAAAAGCGCGTTAGCGAACCGCAAATGCAAAGTCCACGCTTATCTCGAGACCTTGTTCTAAGCGCTGCAAACGCGTCCAAAAAACATCGCGTCATTTTTCTCGACTACGACGGTACTTTAACCGACGCTCACAAACTACCCGAATTCGCCAAACCAAAGGATACAATCACGGCGACTCTTCGCGACCTTCAAAACCAACCGAACACACACGTCTATATTCTCTCTGGTCGGAGCCGTCAACATCTCGATATATGGTTCGAATCAACTGGTGTAGGCCTCTCGGCCGAACACGGCTGTTTCTACAAACACCCAAAGTCGTTGAGAGGTGTCATAGATCCAACCGCAAACTCCGCTGCTGAGGGGAAATCATTGAAGGAGGAAGGCAATGGATGGTATAGATTAGTTGAGCAGGTTGACCCGACGTGGAGGGAGACCATCAGACCGTTGTTTCAACATTATAAGGATAGGACTCCTGGCTCATTTATTGAAGAAAAGGAAATTAATTTAACGTGGCATTATCGCAACGCCGATCCCGAGTTTGGATCATGGCAGGCGACGGAGCTTCAAGTTAATTTGGAAAAGTCACTGATCCATTTGGCACTGTCGGTAAGTAAACAAAAAAGCACGAATTTTTGTCAAACGAGAAGGGAGAGCTCGTGTCCTTTATTGGTATTTGTCTTTAAATATTCGTTTCTTACGAAAATCGTTCATCCATGTTACTTGCTTTCTTCAGATTGTGCGTGGTAATAAGACGCTCGAAGTTCGTCCGTCTACAGTCGACAAAGCAACAGCAGTCCGTGCCATTCTTAAAGACTTACAGCAGGCCCAGAATCATGTTGATTTTATTTTATGCATAGGTGATGGAAAGACGGATGAACCTGTATTTTCCGCGTTGAAAGAAGTAAATTCTGACTGTATTACGAGTACTGTCGGTAAAAAGCAGACGGATGCTAAATACTATATTGACAATGTGCGAGACGTTGAAAAACTGCTCACTGCTCTAAGCAAAGAGCTACATTAGTAAAAAGGTCATGTGGAAGAATCTTCAAATTTACGGTTGTAATCTAAAGAAAGAAGTAAATAGAATCAATAAATTTATAGTATTCAAATGCAATGATGCGAACGGATTACTCACTAGTATTTCGACGAATTTTAACTAGTCTTTCTCCAAGTTTATGGCTGTCCCAAACTTGCCATAAAGGATAGTTTTCAGTTGTTGCATTTTGTCATTCATAGAATCTAATTGATTTCTTAATTCTTCAACTTCCTCTGTTAATAGTGATGTCTCTTGTTCTAATCGTGATTGGACTTCAGAAAGTGAAAGCAAAATGAACGCATCGCCTATTTTATACCTGAACATTATATGGTATATGAGCATAGAGCGTAGTATAATGAAATTACCGGGTATACACTACTACCAAGCATTCATTCTGAACAGTAATGACGTTGATAGGAAGGTAACAAGCTAACCTAACCAATTCATCCTCGTCGACCAGTTCTAGTTCTAAGGCCAAGTCATCAATGTATTCCTTTTCTTGCTATATTATCGAGCAAAATGATCATAGATTGTAGTAACACTAATAGGCTGCAGTATCTCAACACTTTGAGGAAAGTACCTTTTTATGTTCATATTGCTCTTCTATATCATTGTATTTGCTGACTAACTTGCTGAAAGAGTTAATATTCTGTTGGTCCTCCCAAGTAACTTCAGCATTAACCTCTTCGTCTTCGTTGAGCTGTGTTAGTTCGGGTGATTTTATTGTCGTCATTTCAATTCGGTTTGAGGTGAGAAAGTTAAGTAGATTGCTTTGTGTAAGAACAAAGACGTAATGTTTACCATGCGCATTGTAGGAAAGTGGTTCTGAATATGAAGGCCTGGTTAGACCCTGGAGAATTTCAAAACATTTGACGTCAATTGAGAAATTCATTAGCCATTGGATGGCTTAAAAAAAATATCCCTAGCAATTTCTCCTCATGTGCAAGCAGTGTTAACATTGACTTATGCTACATATAAATCGTGTAGGTAATTTTGCGCAAAAACTACTATAGCGAATGTAAATTAACCGTAAAGACAGCGCGCTACTCTCTTGACAAAATTGTGAAAGTTTGACAGTAATATAGCCTAGAACACAGTCGCAATGCCGTTCAATATTTATTCAGCTTTCACCTATAGTAATGACATAGTCACAAACGATTGTTGGTTTTTTTTGAAGAATAAATTTCAGATGCTCGCTCCCTGTAAATACTTTATGTGCATTGCAGTGATCTATGATTCCCACCACCCGTTTCGGCGTTATTCGGTTCCTTAAAGCATGATCGTGTCTTTCGGGGTTCTGGCACAGGTGACACTAGTTTCTTTGTAAGTATATACCAAAGCGAATTATTGCAACTCTCCCATAAGGATTTTTTCTATACATGAAATGATTCGCCCATGGAATGGCATATAAATCATCATAGTATTGGTCAGTAGTCCCATGTTGTGGAGTTGACTGTTATAAATTATGCCATTTATCAACAGGCTGAAAATAAAGCCAATAAATACTCCGAAAAAGAATTCGCTCGTAAATGTAAGCATTTTTTGTAGATTTGTTTTAACGATGTATTATTTCAACGGGAGACGATCATAACGCCGAAAATCATTTCACCGACGTAAGATTTCACCGACAATCATTTCACCGAAAATCATTTCGCCGACAATCATTTCGCCGACAACACTACCAAAAAAGGATAATTTCGAAATAATGTTGGTGAATATGTCGGTGAAATGATTGTCGGTGAAATGATTGTCGACGAAATGATTGTCGGTGAAATATTACGTCGGTGAAATAATTTTCGGTGAAATGATACGGACCCATTTCAACGATATTTATTGAGTTTTGGTTGGTAAGTTAACCGGTGCTGTTTTTATAATAAAATATTCGTTTGTTCATCATAAACTGCGGACGATTATTAGACAAACGCGAATTTCTGCGCATTGATTATCATTGGTCACCTTCTGCATATAGGGGAACAATAGTTACATGGACACTCAAATGCAAAGCGAATTGGATCGAGCTAACAAGAAACTGGACAGGTTAGAGGAGCTGAGGAATGGTGCAGAGGAAAGGTACCAAGGGGAGAGAGAGAAGCTGGAGCAACAGGAGAATGTCTTGGAGGAAAGGAAGACATGTCTCATTGTGTTGCTTGCAAGCACTCAACCAGGTAACGACTTTGTGGATATTCTTTATTATGACTTTATCATGAATCTACTTTTTGGTTCATATTATCCAATTGTGTTTGGGGATATAAAGCTGCTCTTGTAATATCTTTGTGACAATGACAGCCTCATTATCATCCTTCATCTTAACAGATCATGACAAGCAAGATATTAGCACATCTTTAAGAACTATTTCTGTACATCACTTTCATCTTTACCATCATACATCAATTATTTCAGAGATAGTGCAAGAGCATTGGGGATTGATGAGTTAAAAAAAAGAGCAATTGGTTTTAATTCAAATCAGATAAAATGGCTTGTTACAAATATAAAAAAAATAACAAAGTTACTGATTCAATAATAAATTTATGAGATGAATGAGCAACAGATGCTGATGCTGTATTGGAGAATTTAAAAGGAGAAGGTGCTAAGTTAGGTAAGAAAGTTGATGAATTAAGAGAATTAGTGCTAGACAAATCAAAGTCAATGACGAAAAACAAGCAGCTGAGAAAGTAAAAGAAGATGCTAAAGTAATCACTTAATTTAAAGCTCTGCAGGATAATATAGGCAAGAGAACTTATAAAGAACTATTGTTTATGCATAATATTTTGGGATGGATTAAAAAGTGAGAAGCATTAAAAATGGATGCTACTTTTAATCCTGATGCAGAAATAGCAGCTTTGGATGCTGCTGAAAACTGCTAATCAAGGTAAACTAGCTAAATATAATAATTGAGTTGGGAATGGTACTTTCTTTACTGAAAGATTAGAGAAATGAAAAAGTGATGATGGTAAATTCTTTAATGAGGAAGCAGTAAGAAATTATTTAAGTGAAATCAAAGATTTCTTAGAATCAGTGGGACAGGGATTAGATCTGGTAGAACAAAATGAGTTAGATCAAATTAATCATTATATTAAGCATGGTCCAATTCCTCCTGAAAAGAGAATTCTTCCAATTACAATGGAACTAAAAGGAGCTTTAGGAGTCAAAACTAATGTGTTTAGTGATCTAACTAAAAAATGAATTGCTTATTCGCAAATATTGATTTTAAAATTGAGACCAGTGAAATTAAAAAACTGGCTGACAAAGTTAATGGTAAAGGAGCTAAAATCAAAACTCCAACTTTAGTTAAATACTGTAAAGAAGTCTTGGCTAAAAGGTCTGAATTAGTAGAAGATGATACTTATGGCCTTCCCCAAGCCAATGCCAACAATCAAGAGTGATTAGATTGATTCTTTACTTGAGACCCTGAAATAGTGGTAGAGACTATTGCATTACAGGAATTAGAAGTGGATAGTAAGCTTAAAGAACAAATCCTAAAAGAGATGGAAGATTACAAAGATGGTGGCAAAAGGCTAGATAATAATAAATCTAAATATGGGAATGGGAAAGAATTTACTGAAGAAGGAATCATTAAGTACTATGCTGAAAAGTTAGGTGGACAAAATCATGCTAAAAAGTGATATGAAAAACCTTTTGAGGATAATAAACAAGAAGGTTTCTGAAGAAGTAATAATAATAATCCTTCAGTTTGAGTAAGTGGAATTGCTTTGTTTCTATTAAGCAGAACAGTTATTTGAGCTATTTGAAAAAGAAAAACCTTGCTCAATGATGAAACTCCCCTGCTGAACTAGTACTAGAAGAAGATGATGAAGAGGATGATGATTAATAATGATTTGATTGTTTATTCTACCAGTCTTCTTTTCTTTCTTGGTTCATCATAAGTTGGTGTTAATGTTCATTTACTAGTCATAATTTTCCTTTCCTCTTGGTAAATTTTATAAGTAATTTTTTCTTGATCTAGATATTCCTGGAGAGTTTGGGTATTATTGATTTTAAAAACGTAGGGAGCAATTTTTTCTCCTTGAGCTTTCTTTAAAATACTTCTAATGGTGCTGTAGTTCTTGGGTTCCATAGTGGACTTAATGTAAATTAATTTCATATTAATATTTTTTATATAGAGATAATCCTATATTAATCCTGCTATGGTTTATATTCATCACATTCTGGTATGATAATGAGAACATTAAAATGAACAAATCCCCATAAGTTATCATTATTATTATAAACAAGCACCATTATTACATTCAAAATGTTATTAGTCAAATTAGTTAACTTTCAGCCACATCAGCCTCACATTTATGTCACATAATAGAATGTTCACTTTGTCTGGTTTTGTTGCAGTCTGCCCCATATTAATATGTGGAATGCCATATTAATATAAAACAAAATTCCAACTGAACATACCTAAGTCCAAGAAGTTGACACTTTTGTATTTAAACTCAAAGTTGAAGTGCTTTGGCTTTTTACCACACCTAGTATCAGCCAGTAAAAGATCAACATAACCAGAGCCAGTGTACTCTTTTGCACCATGACAAGCACTGCAACTTCTGTATTACTTATTTTCTTGGACTCGAAATACGTTGCACCGGAAAATTTGATTATATGGTCATATGGTCCTGTAAAGGTTTTATCTTTCATTTCATTAAAAAATCTTGATGCATCATAGTATGTACTTGTCCCCATCCCATTCGCTTTTTCTTCAAGATATGTTCGAAGCATAGTGGAGTAGCTTCCACGATTCCAGTTCTTCGTGTCGTAAACCTTCAATTGTTCCTGCTACATGATCTGATAATTCTGGTTTTCCGCAACATATTCGTTTTTTATAAGGTGGCGGTAAATCTATAATAGTAAATAAATATTAAAAATACAACGTGGATTAACACTCCCTCACGTAAATAGAGGGGAGGCAGACTAAGACGAGAGGCACTACACGCCCATGTACCGGACGGCGAACCCTTATTTCTCAGAAGGTTGGCAACGGTTCTTTAAATTCTATAAACGAATACAATAAAAAAATCCTATCCTGTTGACATCCATAATTAGATACTAGATACATATATAAACAGGTTGATTAGAAGCCTTTGTAAATCTAGCAGGATAAATGTTTTATACTATACCCAAGTTGTTTGGCGCAATAAAGGAATAATAGATGTGGTGTTAGAGTCCGAGAAGTGTTTTGATTTAGAGATCAATTAATATTAAATTACGCGTCTATTACTCTTTATTATTATTATGCAGATCTGACGACAACTCGTGACTTATAGTCACTCTGACACACGTGATCACATAGTACCTTCTGACAACAGAAATAAGAAACTCGCCACCACCGTCGTCAACCTGATATATGGTATGTTGCATGTGGCCTGACGACAGAAATTGGCCACCGTCGTCACCTGAGTGGGAATAACATAATTATGTTATTCCCATTACAGCAAACATCGAAATGGAGGTTTGGTTATCTATAGCAAATTCGGATTACTTTATTTCTAATCTTGGGCGTGTCAAAAATAAAAATGGTAGAATTTTAAAAAGATATATTCGCAAAGGCCATGATTATGTACAATTACAAACGTTTATTCCAAATCCGGAGAATAAGTCCCCAGGTTAATTATGTTAACGGAATCAGAGTGATAATAAAAATGTTAATTAGGTGTTTATAAATCATGATTGTGCTAATTTTAGACAAATCGTGCAAAAGACTGTAGATGGTAACATTATTCAGGTTTGGGGTTCTATTCGCCTTGCAGGTGATAGTAATAGCTCTGAAGTGGCATCTTATTATTTTACTTATTACAATACTCGGGCTAGAATGAGTATATTATATAACATGTTAATGTGTGATGAAAAGGTAACAAATAAATTCAATTTAAGACTCGCATGTTAACACATTTTTTCTTGTTTAAAAAAAACCAATGGCTACATATTTTCTCACATAGTTCTTTTTTCTGTAATGCTGTCAAAGTAACGCGAGTTCGTTTATTTACACATCAACTTGATCTTTTCGTTTATTATTAAACTGCTAAGGCATAAGTTGACGTTTGTTAGTGTGTATAACGGCTCCGCTATAATATTAATTTTTAGTCTGAATCTCCGCAGTAAACGATTACAGATCATCTGACTACATGTTTTTCAAATTTTTACTTTTTCACGAGTTTTTCTTTTTGTGCACGTTACTGCTTTTATCATGCTCTCATGTCGATTTGTGAGAAGGACGTATGAGTGGCACCGGTTAGCTTATCCAATAGCAAGGAATATTTGGCATGCAAAACAAAGTAGAGAGGCTTCGTCGCTTACGGCGTCTTTCAAAAAGACTGGAAAGGTTTTGTTTCATGTTGACTTTTTCATTTGTTCGTGGTATCTTGACATTATTAACGCTCATGTGCGAATGAATAAAGGCGGCTTTAGGAACGAGTGCTGTTACTCACATAACCACTCTATCTAATGGAATACGTGTTGCAACGGAGAATACGCTTGGCCACTTTTCAGCAGTAGGCGTGTTTGTCGACGCTGGTTCGCGATACGAGACTCCCCGTACTCTGGGTGTCAGTCATATACTAGATCGAATGGCTTTCAAGGTTATACAAATAGTTTTTAGTTATACCGAATTGAAACGCAGCTTCAGAACGATTTAAATATTAAAATGCTAATGTTTGGTTAAATGTTAGTGTTATTCTTCACTTTTATTGCCCACTCATATTCTCTCCTATTTCCACATTCCTATACAATTAACAGAGCACAAAGAACAGAACGTCAGCCCAATTGCAAAATGAATTAGAAGCATTATGCGGTAACGTAATGAGTACAACTGGTCCCGAGTCAATGATCTATCAAGCAGCCATATTTCCGAAACGTCTCCCAAAGATTATGGAATTCTTTGCAGACGTGATAATCAATCCGCTCATACTTCCGGAGGAACTTGAAGAACAACAGCAGACGGCGCTCTACGAGATAAACGAAATATGGCAAAAACCCGATATGATACTGCCTGAACTAACGCATACAGTAGCATACAATAACAATACTTTGGGATTTCTGATGATATGTTCGGAAGAGAGACTAAGTGCGATGAAACCGACGATTATTCGGGAATATCTTGAAAGATGGTATCGACCGGAGAGAATAGTGATAGCAGGAGCAGGCATTGAACACGAAGAAACGGTAAAATTGGCAGAGAAATATTTTGGAGCAATGCATAAATCAGTCGGTCCTACTCATCGCACTGTAGGGGATTCTCTTCTTGAGACCATTGCTGGCGTAAAACCGGCTGGAAAGCCTTCCTTATACAAGACTATTACTACAGCTGCAACGTCCATATTACAAAGCGACAGTTCATCGTCTTCTCTATCACCTGCTCATGAGAAGGCTCATTACACGGGGGGGACTCTTTTGCTCGACGAACCTACGCTTCCATTTACTCATATGTATGTTGCATTTGAAGGTCTGTCTGTCCATGATCCTGATATATATATTCTTGCAGCATTACAAACGCTTCTTGGCGGAGGAGGATCGTTCTCGGCAGGTGGACCAGGAAAGGGATTACATACTCGTCTATTTAAAAGAGTATTATCTCAGTATCAGTGGGTTGAGTCTTGCTTGTGTTTTAATCATTGTTATACCGATTCTGGGCTATTTGGTATCATGATGTCGTATCGTCCCGAGTATAATTATCTTGCTCCAACGGTTATTGCAGAGCAATTTAATGCAGTTGCTAGTTTAGGGAATGGATGTGTGACTGAGGATGACTTGATGAGGGCAAAGAATCAGTTGAAGAGTAATTTGTTGATGAGTTTCGAGTCTAGAATGGTACAACTTGAAGATATCGGACGGCAGGTGAGTAAGTGAGAATGCGGTAAACTATATTGTTAGCCTTGCTGAACTCGTGTTATCCTTGTTAGGTTCAAGTGAATGGGTATAGGATTCCAGTAGAAGAAATGTGTGAAAAGATAGACCAAATCAATCTGGAAGATTTAGTACGAGTGGCACAAAGAGTATTCAGAGGGAATGTTTATAATGAGGGAAATGGTACTGGTGCCATCACTATTGTGGCGCAGGGTATGTTAACTGGTCTACCTAATGTTGAGAAACTATTTGAGGCCTCTGGGCTTGGCAGAAGTAGATCACGGTTTATTTGACAAGTTTTGGCATAGGTAGTAGTGTATTATAAATGAATAAATAGCAATAGAAGAAATGGATAACACAACCTTGTTGTCGTTGGAATAGTCTTAATGATGATCCACAATGTAGTTGATTATTTTTGATGGATTGGTTACCTTGACGTTCTGTCCATACCGAATAATGTCGAGAGTATACTTGTTCTGTTTGTCTCTACGATGCACCCATTCAATACCATTTCATCCAAAATAACATGAATTTTCTCCAGATTGAACATTATATCTAATTCACACTGAAAGTACTTGATTAATTTGCATTCATATAAGATCAAATGAGATCAATTTGCATCCTACTTACAACATTATCAAAGTACGTGTTTAACGTCTCTACACAATTAGTCACGATTAATATCGAATTATCGACATTGACAGTTAACAACACAGTCGACAACTCACCAACAAACGCTTGAACGAATTCAAGAATAGCAAATTCATTCTACAATGTGAGAGATAGTACAATTCATGAATACATACATACACAAAATGGCTCAATATTTTCGGTTTCCTACTCACTTCGTCTTCCTCAAACCCAATTAAAAAGAACAATGAGGCATATCTTCTATATGCTGATATACAAATAGTTCATTAAAGGATATTAATGACTCATCATATGCATACAACTATACTCACCTATTTTGTATGTCCTATACTCAAATAAAGAACACTGTAGGAGAGTTAATTGTTTGAAAACGAAGCCGTGTGATGACAAATAAAAATCTTAAATACCTGCTGTTCTCCACGCTTCAAACAACGACGTGATATTTCTGCTTCCATGACTTCCCTCTCTTCAGGCGGTACGGGAAACTCTGTATAATATCTAGAGAACCGCGTTTGACCTTGCTTGTTAACAAGCAAAAAGAAACGGATCATTTGCCAAGGTAGGTTAGGTATATGAGAAGTATGACAGTGTGTTGCGATTTTTATCATGAGCGATAATTGATTACTATTGGTCAACAAAAACCTACACCCAAGTGGTCATTATCTTATCAAAAAGGAAGCTGGCATATTTTTTAAGGAAAAACTGGCTTTTCTTTCGAATTAATATAAAGTCCAGAAGGCAGAGCGTATGCAACTTTATAAGCAGTTTGGACGTAGTCATACTTTGTTGTCCAACTGTGCAAATTGTAAAATTATTGGTAAACCCAGCTTGCAACATTTTTATGTAAAACTTAAACAAATCTTTCTCTTTTGTTGCAGCATCGAATTGTAAAGGACAGAAATCTTGCTATTGTAATAAATTGTATAGGTCTTTCTTTCTTTCTTTCTTTCTTTCTTTTTTTCAATTGTTATACACAAATAAAGGCTCACTATTTCATCAGATTCGTACTTAAATACTTTTTTGCTTGAAGTTATCGCTCGCAGTATTTCAGGATGCAAATTTGAACCAGAAAAATGTCAATTTCGCATCACGCGGTAATACTATAGGCGAAGAAAAGTAGCGCAGTAAAAATTTATCCTTCGGATTTCATCTTAAGCCTGCCGCGAATAATGTAATTGCACGAAGTTTTGAAAAGAGCGCGCCACATTCTTGTCAAATCATCAGGTGAAACCGTTTTTGTGTAATCCTTCTAACAAAATTTTTCTCTTTGGATCGACATCCTTCGCATTTTTACCATCATTTGAACGATGGGGACACTAAAGCAAAAGGGAAAATCAGGAGCTGCAACGAACTATATAACTCGCAATCAGGCTTTAAAGAAACTTCAAGTTACATTAGCTGACTTTCGGTATTGAAAATAGATTGTTTTTTGTTTTATTTCACTTCAAATTGACTCAATTCCGTTTCTTCTTTTAATGCACAAAGTCGCTTATGCATATTAAAAGGCATCTACCCGCGGGAACCGCGTTCGCGTAAAAAGGCCAACAACGGCAGCACCGCCCCAGCAACCTTTTACTACACGAAAGACATCCAGTATCTTCTTCATGAACCAGTGTTGAAAAAGTTTAGAGAACATAAGATTTTCCTGAAGAAATTAAGTAAAGCATTAGGGAAAGGGCAAATTAGCATCGCAAAAGGGTTAGAAGAGAGAAAACCGGTTTATAGACTGGATCATATTATTAAAGAGAGGTTTGTGTTTTTGAAAAGGAAATTAGAAAAGTATGATGCATACAATTAGGCAATGTCGCGTCATGTCGAAGACAAATTCACTCATTTTTTCGCATTTCATTCTCCATGCTTGTCCAATTTTATTTTCGGATACTCGGCATACGTTTAAAAGATACCCGACATTTACCGACGCCCTCCGCGACGTAGACGATGCCCTTTGCATGATATTCCTATTCGCAACGTTTCCCCGCACCGATAAAATCCAGATATCAACCGTCTCAAACTGTCAGCGACTATCTGCTGAGTTTCAGCATTATGTAATACATACGAGAAGTTTACGAAAGGTTTTCTTATCGATCAAAGGAATTTACTATCAAGCAGAGATTAAAGGACAGACTGTTACGTGGATCGTACCGTATTTGTTCAGTCAGAGGGTGAGTTTGGGTAAAAGAGAGTTACGTGAGTGCAGACATGACCCGGTTCATGTTACAGTTTTCGTTACTTATGCTACCTTGCAAATATTTCAGGTCCCCGACGATGTAGACTTCCGCGTGATGTTAACTTTTCTTGAATTCTACCAAACTCTCCTCGGCTTCGTCCTGTACAAACTTTACGCAGATGAGAATTTAAAATACCCACCGATTATGGAGATCGACAAAGATGAAAGTGCTGCAGGGCTAGACGCATTGTTGATTGAGAGGGCAAGAATTGAAGAAAAAGTAGAAGAGAGGATGAAAGATAGAACAGCTGGAGATATTGAGGAGATTATTGAAAACGGACAGAATAATGAAAATGTAAGTTTAGAGGTCTCAAGGTTAAGTCGGATTTTGCGTGATTGGTGGTGAGGAGTGAATTGACAATGGGAAGGGAGGTAGAACGTACAAGACTCTGAGATCCATAGAAAATAATTACGAGGCGTGACGCATCTTGTTATATCCGTGGTACAGATAAGAAAGAATTGTACTGATGCTGACACTATCCAAATATTAACTACACAGAAGCAGAAACTAAAATCTGAAGAAAGACTGAAGACTTTGCCAGAGAAATTACAAAAAATTCAAAACGACGATACTCCTTCTCTCCCTCCGACTTTACCTTCGGAAGTACCCGAAGAAGATTTTGCTGATCCAACATCTTCGACCCCACAGATAACTTATCTTTCTCTTTCGAATTCTCTCTCTTCGCTAGCCACATTCCAAAATATCTTCTCCTCTCTAAAATTCTACCTCTCCCGAGAGGTACCCAGATATTCCCTTGAATTTGTGATAAAATCATTTGGAGGTGAAGTCGGGTGGGATAGCAGTGTGGGTGCGGGGTCGGCGTTTGACGAGAATGATGAGACTATTACACACCAAGTTGTGGATAGGCCAAATGTGGAAGAGAAATATGAGAACAGAGTTTATATACAACCACAGTGGGTGTACGATTGTGTTAATGCAAGGAGATTATTGAAGGTTGGCTTGTACAGAGTCGGAAGACGGCTACCACCGCATCTGAGTCCGTTTGCAGAGAGTAGAGAGGGTGACTATATGCCAAAAATTGTACAAGAGATGGAAAGCGAGGAAGAGGAGGGAGAGGAAGAGGAAGAAGAAATAATAGAAGCGGCAGAAGAGGGAGAGGAGGAAACGGATAAAGAAGTAAGTATACGCTGTTTGGATATTTATAATCTTGATGATTAGCAGATAACCATAAAATCTAAATTCTCTTATCAGTCGTCGTCGTTAGAGGAAGACGAATTAACACACCAAAAAGAACTTGAAGCTGAAGCAGCAGGTATTTCCTATTCCGCTTCCAAATCATCCAAACCAAAATCCATTGCGGGCACGAAACGACCTCGCGAAGATGCAAATTCTGAAGCTAAAGAGCTGGCTAAGATCATGATGAGTAAGAAACATAAGAAGCTGTACGATAAAATACAGTACGGAAAAAACCAAAGACAAGAAAAAGCGAATCAATTAGAACGAAAGAAAGAGGAGTTAGAAAAGAAGAATAGAAAACGTAGAGACATTAAAAAAAATAGATGACGAGTCGAAGGTGAAATAGTTTTATTTAATGTTGAGATACTCCTCTAATTAAAATCGTATAAATATTGATCGATTTCAAATCGGACAGATTTGGATACTTGTTTGATAAAATCATAGCTGACATTTGTTTTACATTTTACTGTCTCCAAGCGTTCTATGGTCGACGTTGTTCGGATTAGTAAACGTAAGGTTATTAAGGATGATATCTAACATACAGGAACCAATGAATAGAAAAGTAATTAGACGATAGATCTCGTGATTAAAATTATCATTAATATATGTCCTTACTGACCTGCATATGTATGTCAACGGTTCCTTCTATTTTTTCTGGTAAGATGCTATAAAATATTGCCAGCATCCGTTCTATCGGGAATGATTTTGGACCTAACAGTTGTTGTCTTGGCTAGAATAACAATAATAATCGGTTAATTAATCGTATTTGTAGCTAATTGACATGTTATGAATCAATTTACCTTCCCATTAGATTTTGCTGTTTTATTGTTTTTCCTTTTTCTCCTTGTTATTCTACCTTCGTTGCTCTTTACAAAATATCTTTGGTCTAGTCGTGGCGGATTATATGAGGCGAGGAAGGCAGCTATCAAGAGGAATTTAGTATAATATGGCACTTCCATCCCTGCGTGTAATATTGTGATAATGAGTATGAATTTCAAGGAGTATTGGCTTAGATGAGACAATTAAATGCGTGCATACTTTGCGAAGTAAGCGATTGGTCATTCTGGTTATTTTCGATTTCAGATGCGTGTTTGATCCACTCCGAACTTGATATATCTCTCAGGTAGAGTTTATCCATTGCCAGTTTAAAGTATTGCTGAATGTTCTTTGCCAATTTACCATGCTCGGAACGTTTCGCTTATGAAGAATACCGTGGAAATAAATTTAAGTATGCGGTATATAATGATTTGGATATTATACAACTTTATACTTACCAGTTCCCTCCTTCACTGGTAATAGATATACTGGAAACAGTAAACTGGCCAAATATCGTAATTCTTTCAAATCTTTACAGCTCTTATAAAATGATTCATATAATAAATCGATAAACCCTCCAAAAAACTTGGAAGATTCCCCTTCAGGACAATCTTTTGTCAATATTTGCAAGACTTCACGTGCAGTGAATAGTTAAGGTTCAAATGAGAAAATGGTCGGAAGAATAAACAGTTCGATAAAAAGGATATTCTTCGTGTACTCTGGGAAAAAAAGCAAATAAGGTTCATAAAGACCGACTCGAGTTCGAAATCTTTCCAAACAAAGTGATGTTATTAAAATAACGCTTATATTCATTGCTGTCTACAATACAATTGTCTTTAGTTTTGTAAAGTTTAGAGTTGAAGAATTACCAAAATAAAGCTTACCAATGCGGGCAAGTTCAGTAACGCTGGTAACAAAGTCGGTGACATGTCTCTTAATCTTTCGGCTCTATCCAGTATCTATTAACAATGCCGAACCACGAACCACGCGTGCCATAATTATATATTAATCCTGTTAATTAACGTCTGAATTAATGCGAAACAACTTACCAAATATCTGGCATTGTCATCAGTCCAACATTCACGTAATCTCACGACAAATTCATTGATGTCTCCACATTTGACCCAATTACAGAAATCATTCTCAAAACTTGGTGTGATACCAGCGAATTGGTTTAGAGCGTGTTCGAAAAGCAGGCTTTCGGTGTGGCGTTCGACACAATTTATGAAGGCATAGTGAGTCGCAGATAGTAATTGAGTAAAGATATGCTTTATTATGGTTGTCTTTCCGAGAGAAGAATGCCCATAGACAAATATCACTGGTGGTGAGGCGTCTGTTGGCTTTAATGGTACGATACAATAAGTAACAGACATTAATACAACTTTCAGCTTCGAGTATTCGACGCGCTAACCTGTCCGATAAGTTCAATAAGTGTAGATATTTGTGAGGAACGGCCCGGATATAGGAGTGCTAGTTCTTGTGCAAAATTCATGCTATGTTGAGAAATAGAATGTGCTGCACGGAAATATCGACGCGTCTTCTACCGATATGCTAAAGTAGATGTAATACTATTGTTGATGATGTATACTATATGGGACTATCATGTGATTAACTATCAAAAGGGGGATATTGCAATCAAGTCGCACTACAGAGAAGATTGTATAAATGATGCTTGTATTCATTACCACATGCTATACAAAAGCGTCAAAAAGAACTATTGTCAATTGTTGGCGCAGGGCGCGCGTCGCCGACTGTGACGAAGAATTACAAAGGAATGCATCATTGCGGTAGCTGAATAGATTATCTTTCACGTGGTAACAGTGGGAGTCGTTATTTATGTTAGAAACCCTTGACAGTAATACGAATGACGTCTGAATAAGCGATTAAGAGACAGTCGAAAGTTCCGGTAAAGACAATGAAGGCATCAGGCTACTTATGACGACAATTTCTACCAAGGGCGTGTAACGTAGAATGTAAACGTCTTAATCACGTTATTTTCCATAAAATTTTTTGGGTCGTATTAACACTACGAGTTTTTCCTGGCGAGGTGAGCATTCAATTCCATTTGTTACAATATTCTCGAAGCGATGATGAATTGAAATACAATCCAACTCCGAAAAAAAAAATCATCTTGTTGATTTTGAGGAAAAACCTATGCAACACTGATAATTTTGTTTATTTGGAAACGTCCTTCTCAAACTGTTTATACGAGTTAGTAAACTGTACTTGTTCCCGGTAGAAGTCGAAGCAAGGCACTGACCCTTTGCGAGCATTGGGAGCGGCGAACGGAAAGTTGTCGGCAACAGAAAACTCACTAACCTCGATCAACGTTTAGCAGAATATAAACGACTGGTAATTGAATAAACGCTTAGCCATACATCCATACTCTTCGTACATGACGATTATAAATCTTATCCTACACGCTGAATTTTCCCATGTTGAATCGAAATAGTTTCAGCCTTGTCTGATGAATAACACCAGTTCATCAAATTCTGCTTCACACAAGCACAAGAGACTTTCACTGATATGTTGTGTTTTTTTTCATATTTTGTAATAGGTCTTATGGACGTTCAGGTGAATGCATATTCTGACATTGGAGTTTAATGCTTTATCAAATGATGAAAAGCTTTGTAGACGGGCGGTCGGAATCAAATATGTCGAATGTCTACAATATTATCTGATTCTACAAACGTTAACCTTTTTTTATTGGGACCATTAGTAAGAAACTAATGTTGCTTTATTCAAATAGGAAAGAAGGAAGGAAGCCATCTTAGAGGATATCCAAATTAAGGTGTATTATCTTGATCTGATGCTTGTAGTTAACAATCCATACTGTTTAACAGCCATCAGTCAAGCAGAGTATTTGCGTTCAAAAGTTGAATTCAGTAAAGCATCACAGCAATTGTTGTGTTATGAAAAAGTCTTTTCTATCTAATGTCTTTCTGCGGCTTGAACTTTCAAATGAAAATTTCAGAGTTGACTCTTTCTGCGCACCTGATCGTTATGGCACACATCTTTACAGAAACCGATTCTCAATACGGAGTCCCTAAAAGATTAGTGGCAATATTATAGAAACTATTCAATAGCTAGTTTGTTAGAAGCCAGTTTCATTTCCTATTTGCCGATGCGTACTTTTTCGACAGGTATTCGTATATATCATTTCTAACATGTGTCTTTATTTTGCCCCATAAGCGTGCAATCCATCTCAATTAATATGATTCTGATAACAATAGATGAACTTGATACAAACTTGAGACTATTATTAACATATCAAGTATCAACCGCAGACGTTTGCTTACTATTTAGATAATACGTTCGGAATGTGTTAACGCATAAGATGACAACATTAAACTTATCCTTAAGTAGGGAAGCGATTAAATAACAATATCGATCTTAGTTTTAGCGAGAGGTTGGGTGATATCCTTTGCTGTGTATCCATAAATTAATGGATGTGGTATTCGATGCAGCACTACTACTATCTGTCACTCAGTCCTTTTGTCGGAAAAAGATTTTCTAAACGCGGAACGACGTGTATTATATTAAGAAATTAAGTTGTCTGTACGCACCCTATTCTTTGCTACAATCGTAAAGTCATAATTCATACCTTCATTTAACCCTTCTCGCTTCCAACTTTGAAGACAAGTGTTTTCATTTCCTCACTCGCGCAACACTCAATCGGCGTCCTTCCCTTATTATCTTTAATTTCCAATAATGATCTATCTCTTTTCACCAGCATCACTGCTATGTCTGTGTATCCCTTTTCGCATGCTTTGTGGAGAGGTGTTTGGCCATCAATATCTTGCAAGCGGCAATTGGCTCCGTTAAGGAGAAGTAAGGACGTTAGCGACTGGTTGTTAATGAGAATTGCGCGATGGAGTGGCTGTTGATTGAAGATGAGGTGGTATTGTAAATAAGAACTTCATGATTGTGGTCATAATTCTACTCATTAGCGTCATACACACCTAACATAGAAACACCATTGATTTAGTTGTCAGATTGGTAATATATACTTACAGTCGATAGCAATTCCGGAGTAGTTGCATTAACATCGGCGTCGTGCGAGAGTAGTATTCGACATATCTCCAGATGGTTATTGCGTGTAGCGTAGTGCTGTTTAATTTAGGCGTCTGTAAGACAATGAAGATGGGAATAGAATATACACTAAACTCCTAAAAAGTATCCGACCAAGTTATAAATTTGTGTCTTATTAATGACTTTCAATTATCAACACTCGGAGAGCGCTTCAATGCTATTTGACTCATTGTAGATAGATCATATAAAGTTTCAGAAGCAAACTGCTCCATCATTTCAAATTTAAAACGATATCTAACCTTCGTTCGAGTTCAACTAATATTAGGGTCTCGAGATTGAGAAGGCCGCTTAGGAAGCACCTTAATTCTGCTGGACAATCTATTCTTCCTAATTCCCGGGATGCACTTTGAAAGCTTTAACTGTGTGTTTTTTTTGCATTGCACCTTTCGAAAAAATTATAATCACTAATTGATATTAATGAATGAAATCTCAGGGTCGGATACTTTTGGAGGATAGGTTGATTTGCATACAATTATTAAGATTGTTCAATAACACACTCATCCATCTCTTACCAACGGAGTGTATCCGGTACTGTCCCGCTCATTAACAACATGACTCCCTTTCTTAACTATAATATTTCGCACCTTTTCGGTTGCACCCTCGATGCATGCGTTGTGTATTGATCGCATGAAATCTAGTTCTTCGAGTGTCTGTGTGTACGGTGAATTGCTGTGATGGTGGTCGTGTGCCATATTATTGATGAAACCGTTGAAGCAGGGGAAGGGAGTGAAGTGTGAGAGACTTAAATAAGCTAGACAAACAAAAACTGGATAGGGGTCAAAGTTGTCGACATGTGCCACAGCTTTATGATGGAAACATTCACGGAGATCACAACTCATTGGTTGCAGTCTTATGTAAAAATCAAATCGAGGTAACATGATGGAATTAAGTGGCTTTTTCTTTAATTAATATCTCTGGATCGAGGTCAGATGCAATTTGTATTGCCAAGGTATTGTCTTTGTCTTCGGCAGTCATAAGAGAAACAATAGCTGCACAATAATTAATGTGTAAAATTAGTAATGATCTGTCTAAGCATAAATAGTCATTCCAAGGAACAAGAGATTTCACACCTTCTGTGTTTCAAGTCAATCCATCCATGTGTGGAAATATGCGCGAAAAAATAGAGGTTAATAAGATGCTCTTATATTTTAAGATACTGATTCCTGGAAGCTTTCCATCAATTTATATTCACGGCTGCAAACTATAATTAACATATATTGTAAGTCTTGAAATTAGACGTATGGAATAGTTGCAAATGTTAAGAGCATTATATGGGAATATAAACATGATGTGGCTAGCAACAAAGTAAACATTGAAGATTAAAATGGTTAGAAATCATACTGATAACTCCTGTCCTATAATAATAATAATAAATATATCAATCAATTGTTTAGCATTTTCTCTTCAAAATGGTTTGCTACAAATTTACTATCCATAATTAAGTATTGTTATTATACTTAATCTTTAACTCCTTCATGTGACTATGGTAGTCATTATTGACTATTATTATATCCTTATAAACTACTTGCATGGAATTTAATGTACTGGAAGCATCATCAGTAGTAGTTTAAAGAAGAAATTTTGCTCAAGAATCGTGAAACATATAAAGAGATGTTTATAGAATTGCTTACCCTCTCTTCCCAAATTGCCACGTAGTTTCTACCATTTACTTTAAAATAGTCCTTATTTTGATCACAAAGTTTTTCAATATTTAATATTAATATTAATAGTTTACTGGCATGTATTCTTGTCAAATAAATTTAAGAAAAAGGTTATCAATTATTCGAACAAGAATAATTATTATTAATATTGACAGATAGTAACCTTCTTCAAAAAGACATTATAATCAACTGGAAGTCAATAACCCATGGCAAGACTAATAGCTTCAATATTATTGCCCAGTTTGCAAAGTAGTTATACTATTGCGCTTGTCATATCAAAGAACTTTTACAACAAAATATTTTCTGCCGTTCGATATGCGAGGGTATTATACGCAGTAGACACATGCACGGGACAATTTGGTGTTACACTGAGTCTGCGACTGCTGTTGAACAAACGAATTGTTCTTTGAAGTCCCAGTCGTGGGTGGGTCACAAACATAAAGTTTCCATTGAGAGACCCCGTAACAAGTAGCCAAGTGTATGTATCCGGTTAACACACGTATTTGCTATTAAGGAGGTAATAAAGAAAAGGCTAGATTAAAGTTGTCTTTGGAGTAATAAACGCAAGCGCGCCAGCTCGTGCGGGTGGGGAGAGGGGGGGAGAGATGAAGAGATGGAGAGAAATGCCCTATACTCCGAGACCGCAGCTTGGGGGGGGGGGAATGACATTGTGGAGTAAAAAGGTGAAAACCTGCTCAAAACGCCATCAGTTATATATGGATGATGACGCCACCAGTCAATATATTGTTCGTAATAGTTAATAAGCACAGTAAATAACATTTTTATATTGTGCATGTTGTATAAAATCACATTATCACACATATATTATAAATCTATTGTTTATGTCACTTTCATTCCTGTCTCATACTTTGTCACATATATGTTAATATGTGTTGTACATTATTATTCACTTGTTGTCCAATGGCAAAGGGACAGCACATAGCAGTTTATCTGTAAAATCTTTCAATCAGGAATAGGCATTAATTAGTTATTAATTAATGATTGTACGGGGCACATGACCTGAACACAACAACAAAGTACAAAGACAATAAAGTAGCAACTAAGATGATTATGTATATAAGCCTGTATTGCACTAAAAATGATAGTTAGTATAACGCAGATCTTGTAATATATGGTAGCGAATATAGGACGATAGTCTACATCACCGGTTATCTGGCGTATATATATACGCCAGATAACTTCTATTGTATGTTCATAGAGAAATTATACATACAAATATACTACCTTTAATTAAAGCTCATTCCGCAACTCTTTTTTTGCATGACACCTTATTTCTTACTACGCATGCTGCAGTGTGCTAATCCCACAATACAACAGTTCCACCCATTGGGCTTGTATTACGCACGAGTAAATAGAATAAATACAGTAGAAATAGTGAATGTAGTGAGTATAGTGTATTTTGAATGGGTAACCGTTATAGTCAATATAAATGCTGAGCGAGAAATAATAGGTAGTAGATAATAGATAGATATGTGACACACGGACAAAGTATTTATACTACATAAAATATCAATTGTATCTCATGTATATTGTTTATCATTGTTTATCTATTTATCCACTTTGTATATTTTCATTTATTACATCGTATTCAATTGCCATACAAATGTTCTCAATCGAACTTCGATCGTGTTCCGTAGCTGTCTCTGCTTGGCAATCAATTCTTTGTCGTACATTTCCCCCCTGCACGTATAAATACGGGCCGACTTCTCTCCTCCCGCTCATCTTCCGATTCATAATGAAACTAGTATAATAAATAAGTAGAAAATAAGCTGACATCAGTAAAGCTATCGAATTTGTTACATCCAGTGCACACGTACGTACCAATAATAATAAATACTTCAACTGGAACATTTCGCTAGATTATCTCCCAGCTGAGTTTCTGTGATTGGACACTTCAATTATGACGTCATCATTTGTCACCCATCATACAATCTGCCTCGACGTAAACATCAACTAGGATAAAATACTCGGAAAAAAAAAACGAAAACATACCAAACACAAAAGAGCGCGTCTATTAAATAGAGGGGGGGGAAAGAGCAGTGTAAGTGAGTGTGTAAGCCTCTGCGTGCCAAACAAGACAATGTCTTTATTTCGGGAAATTGATCGCAGCTTAGGAAACATCCTCAAGAGTAGATCTGCTCGACACACGTAGAATTCATACTTTACAAACAACATGCTCTACAATTTCACTACTAACCACACACTTTAACTCCTCACTATTCAGCAACCATCACAGTAATCCAACGACGACATAACAAAACCCACGTCCGTCCTATACATACACACTTATCAGTTCACAGAAGAGCAGGCTTCTCTCTCTTTTACACAGAAACCATGACGTCAATATCATATTATGGTTTAACTCCAGAGAATCCAGGAAATTTTGTTGATCCGGATCTTGAACAGACCCTGTTAACGCGTGTACGAGAATTATTAGGTTGGCGATCGGAAGGGTTGGTATTAACGTTATAATGGTGAAGAATTTGTGGGTTGGGAGTTTAAGCGGTGTGATCAACATCACAAAGTCAACGGTATCGGAAATGATAAGACAACGATAAAGACGATTATAATGGTGAATGGGTTTAGCCATGTAATCGCTTTTGTCTTATACCTAACCGGTTTCCACCGCAACTCCTCGGTCAAAAGCTTATGCAAAGTGGTTATCATGCACTCCCAAACTGAGTCTCGTTCTCTCCAAATTATCTCCCCCCCTACACACACACATTATTATATGCTTTTCTTACTTATGCTTCTTCAAAGGTTTCCCGGAAGCCAGCCAGTCAGCTTCGAAGCGTCACATTTCAGCTATCTAGAAAACGAAGATTATTTTGTATGTGAGAAAAGCGATGGTGTACGATATATAATGTTTACTACCTTTAATCACAAAGGACCTCGTACATTTATGGTAAGTTTGAGTGCAGGGAATCATTTGGAATGATGGTGTTGGTCCCTTCAACGAAAAGGGAAAAAAGGATGTCTGAACTGTGGTGAGATTTGTTTCTTTAGAGAATACTTGGTGTAGGACGTTCTATCCTACGTAACTTTTTTTATATTCGTTTTGAACACGATAATTGCGTATCACTATGCTTTAACATCTCGTTTCTGTTGACATGTCAGCATTACTGGCAAAAGTCTAATATCAATCTTTGCGTTCTCTCTGTAGCTCGATCGAAGAAACCGAATTCGTATCGTTCCAAATCTGAAATTACCTTGCAAAGAGCATGGTAAATATCACAATGAAACCATGATGGATGGGGAATTGGTGTTAGATGTTGATGGGGATAAGGTAGTGAGGTATTTTTTGTTTTGGTTTTTGGTTCTGGGGATGAGTGTAATTTACGGACGGTTAGGAAGAACAAAAAATAATCTGTGGGCTGTTCGAAGATGATTGTTGAGATGTATTATAATAGTAATTGGCGGGTTATGCATGAATGATTTTTGGCCTTTTCTTACTCAAACACTTTTTCAGAAAAAACTACGATATTTAGTGTTTGATTTAATGGTTATCAACGGCGTCTCTGTGACGAATAAACCTTATAGCAACCGATTAGGCGTAAGTATAGGCATGTACTGTCATCCTGGTTTGGCGCATTATACGGTTTCGATAATATTTGTCTTGAAATTCCAGGTGTTTCAACAAGATGTGCAAGCTCCTCTTGCAAAGATGCTAGAAGATCGAGAACTGGCAAGGATACAACCATTCACGTAAGCATCCGTGTATATGATTTAGCTTGCCATTATTATCTCCGCCGCACCCGCTCATTATGACGTCGTGCTAACACTCATTTCGGATCGTCCTATTCTCATTCTCTATCCTTTTCACTTTATGTTTGTCTTTTATCTCTCCTCCCCCTCCATATCTCTCTTTTAATTTTCTTCCTCTACCTCAGAGTAGAATTAAAAGAAATGCAACTTTCATATGGCTTGACTCGTGTCTTCGAAAAAATACCGTTCCTTAGACATGGAAATGATGGACTAATATTCACCCCTGTAAAACCTCCCTATGTCTGTGGGGCGTGTGAGAATATATTAAAATGGAAACCCGCAAATAAAAATACTGTTGATTTCAAAATACAAGTAAATTGGAATAAAGATAGGAAACCAGGTTACCAATTGTTGATATCTGATTCAGGCGTACATAAAACTCAGGATCAATTGACACTCGATTCAGAATTGGCTGAGCAGTATGTATTACCAGATTAATAAGAGAACATATTAGGAAACAAGTGAAACTGTTTCAAGACTATGTGCTAACATCAATCTTTTTAAGATGGAAAATAGACCCTCCAAATGGTCGCATAGCCGAGTTCTGGTGGGATCCTGACTGGACGACACTCCTCGTTGATGAAGGCTACGCACCTCAAAAGCGCGCCGGAGGATGGAGGTTTGTACATCAAAATTTACACTTAATTCAATATTATTGTGATTTTACTCATTACATTTTTGCTCCTTCAGATTTTTAAGATTTCGCGATGACAAAGACACAGCTAACGACAAAGCGGTTTTGAACAAAATAATGAACAGTATCAGAGATGGTGTTACGCAAGAGATGGTATGTATAATGGTAAGATTTATTGAAGTGCAACTCGGATCATTAACATAATACCTCATTGTAGCTCGAGAGGAAATGCGATAACATAAGACGTAAATGGAAAGAACGGGAACGGGAACGGCAGAGCAAACCTAGTCTCTCTCATTCCACAATTAACACGTCATATGGAACAATGTCATCTGCTGGAAGGTACTTAATTTCTCGGCATATATTGCATTACATTTTACTTCGTTAAATCACTCACATTACTTTTCTTCGACCTCCGTTCTGCTTTCAGTCGTCATCAAGATGTCGTCCAGCCACCGACACCGTCCATCGCTCAATCAACGCAATCGCCCTTTCTTACTTCTCCAACTGCGCTGGGCACCCAATCTCGCGAGTCAACTTACTTCGACCGAGCACCGTCATTACTAAAAGACCATTCTACTGAAGCCCGACGGCGAAGAGAATCCTGGAGTGATAATCGATTATCTATGGATACGCGAGAAGTCAAAAGGCGAAGGGAAAGCACAGGTGATTTCCGTAGAGATGAATACGCTAAGGATTGGATGAAGGATTCGGAAAGACGGCTGTCGAGTAGTGATAATGATAACATCTCTGAAACTCCAGAGGCAAGAGAAAAGCCGATTTCATTAAAGATGTCAAAGTTGGTGAAAGAAGAAAGTTCATCCACCCTCTTACCACATGACGTATTTTCACCTACACGAGATCATTATCAACATGCACGAGTTGATTTCAAAGACCAACTTAGGGAAGAGAGGAGCAAGTATCCTCAAGACCACGGTAGTTCCGTGATTAGGGCTGAACTTAATCCTAGATATAACTCGCAAGCATCGGGCCGAGAAGCGCAGAGGCAATCCCCACCTGCTCAACGTTCGCGTCCGACCTCGCCTGCGCAATCACAAACGCAGTACTCGCGTCCAACTTCACCCGAACAGTCGCAAACGCAGCACTCGCAACCAACGACATCTCCTAGATCACCAATACAGTATTCGCGTCAAACTTCTCCAGCATCATCACAAATTCAGCACTCACATCCGACCTCCCCAGCACGACCAACCTCACCTGTGCAATCACAAACGCAACACTCACATCCAACCTCTCCCGCCAAATTACAAATTCAGCATTCACGTTCGACGTCGCCTGCCAAATCGCAGAACTCGCGTCCAACGTCACCTGTGCAGTCGCAAACGCAGCACTCGTGTCCAACCTCACCTGCGCAGTCGCAAACGCAGCACTCGCGTTCGACCTCACCTACATCATCGACCGAGCGATCTTCTCATTCCCGTCGTTCAACGATAGAGTCAATTTTGCTACATAACGAGTTGCTACCAAATGAAACTGAGAAAACTATTCAGGCTGATTCCGGAAAATCTCCCGTTGGTCGAGATGAAGAATGTATATCCCCTTGTTCTGTCACAACCGCTCCGACGCCAATATCCGGTTCTCTTACGACTTCTACAGGCATACAAATTCAAAACGTACAACCACAACCGCCAGCAACACGACAACAGTCACTGTCGCCACCACCACCGTCACCACCACCGCTACAACCACAGCAACAACCTCAAGAACAACCACAACAGCAACAGCAAACGCAACCACAACCACCACAACCACAACTGCAACTGCAACCACCACAACAGCAACAGCAACAGCAGCAACAGCAACAACAACAACAACTACAACAACAACAACAACAACAACAACAACAACAACAGCAACAACAGCAAAAACAACAACGACGGCGACAACCACCACTACAACCACTACAACCACAACTACCACTACAGCCACAACAACCACAACAACCACAACAACCACAACAACCACAACAACCACAACAACCACAACAACCACCGCAACCGCTACAACCGCTACAACCGCTACAACAACTGCCGCAACAATTGTCACAACAACTGCCACAACAGCTACAAGAGTTGCAGGCACAAATAACTCCACCACTTCAGTCTCCGGTCCTTCGATCTCCAATAGTTGCGTCTCCAACGCCGCTTTCGTATGAACAGCGAATGCCGCAACCTTATCCGCGTCCGAACGAATACGAAGACTATCGCTCGGGCACACATATTTTTGTGAACTACGCGAACAATAACGGTCACAATCAAATGCGTGATGTGAATTCAAGTGCTATGAAAAGAAGTTTAAGTGGTGGTGCAACTGCAGGACCACTGACAAGCATGAGCTCGAGCTCAAGCGCAGTTTCTACTTCGCCTCCTATTATTCCGATCTCTCAATCCACCGATTATCAAACTGCCGTTCCTCGACATTCCTCTTATCCTCCATCTTATCCTCCATCTTATCCTCCATCCTATCCTCCATCCTACTCTTATCCTCCCTATTCTTCTCGTCCGCCCATTTCGCATCCGACCAATCCTTCCAACACGTCTCAAAGCATTGCACACTCGTCGAATTCATTTTATCCACAACTTACCGACTCTAACCCTCGACAAACGTCGAGTAATACGCATAATCGGCCTTTTGTTGCAAAGAGAAGGTCTAAGGCAACCTTAGATTTTATTCTCAATGATCCGGAAGAGAGTGAATACAAGAGGTCGAGGGTTTAATGGGAAAGGAAAGTTAGAAGCTTGCTTCTAAGAGTAGGATGTGGAAGGGACAAAATTGAACATGAAATAATGGTAGATAATTTTTGGTAATACATTTACTCGGTCATATTAAATCTTTGTATGAGCTTATTCATTATCAATTCCAATGTATTTTTTATACATAGTCTTTTTTGTTCTTTTCTCGCAATTGTACAGATTTGTTAAATTTTGATTTTCTTTGTAGGTACTTTTTTTTTGAATACATTTGTTATTTTTTCTTTCGATTAAAAGATGTTTCTATTTGCGGCAATGTATATAAACAATTTTTGCATGGGTTGTGAATCTGAATCGTGTTAGTTTATTTTTTGGATTGATCGCGTGTGCGAGACTTATACGATAACTGATTTAATGGATTACACACGCAAGGTCAACCCTTTAAACCGACGGTTCTTGTGTAGCAAATTTTTATTCGGTATTATCGGATTTTCGGATTTGCGGGGTAACGGTAAATAGTCGGAGCACTTATCCTGAATAAAAACTTATCTCCCCAAACCCCATTTCGGAACTATGCAGCACATATTGTTTGTCTTGAACGTAAATTTCACAAAACTATGGATTATCGGGTATCAAATTGCCAAAGTGATATTAGCAAGTCATGGCTATGCATTACGATGTTTAACAACAACGAGACATTTTAGTACACAACCGTTGTTTGTTCTCGACATGAAACCTCTGCTCTATTTTTTCTCCATTGTGAAAGACCTTATTACAATTAAGATTGCAGGCTAGTGTTCTCCTTAATCGCTCTCTCGACAAACTCGGTCGTAACTGGCAACTTATCGCCAGCTAACCTCAAAGCTTCCTTGGCAACTTCCTTTCTGATTCCACCCCCGCCAATTTCGAATACAATCTTATCTTTTGGTACTCTACAAGCCCAGTATTCAAATGCTCCTTTTCCTTTTCCCATTCTAGATTCATTCCCTTTACTGGTCACTGGTATATCTGGAAATACTCTCATCCATAATCGAGATCCCTTGACTGATTTTATCTTGCGGCGAATAGCCCAATGGGCAGCGGTGAGTTGTTGAGAGGAGAGACGAACGCCATCCTTTACGCGGAGACCATAATCGCCAAAGACGATAGTTGTACCTTTCGTGGAACCACCAATGCGAATTGGAATCCGCCCCTTGTGAGCTTTACGGCGAGTTACATTCCTCGGTGCGAATTCAGCGCGATAACGACGTTGGGTTTGGATAAATGATAGGAGATAGGCAGGAGATGGAGGCAAACAGAAGCGGCATAGAAGAGATGGTATTGATAACGATGAATAAATTTCTGTATTTATATGTCTCAAAAGAGATGACCTTGTGGAAGATAGCATTATGTCAGACAAAAAAGAAGGGCGACAAACGAATTTTTGGGTTTCATGTGATAAGATAGATGATCAAGCAAATTTACGTTCCCGTGACTTCAGATAATCTCTGACTACAGTAGTAGACGAATTACGAGCCAATTAAATTCAACGCAGTAGTTACGTGGTATTATAACCGGTAGAAAACGACGTTGGAACTTCTACTGTTCGCTCATTTACCAATTTTGAAACTGACGACAGTCTTTATCGTAGTACTGATGGAAAATGCATCCAACAAGACTACGTGATGGGTATAGATAAAGTAACGACAAGAGACAGTCTAACACAGCTGTCAACTGGAGTTTGCTGTTAGGACCTCCTTTTCGACCTCGAACTCTTTGATCGAGACATATAACAATTCAAGTTTGAGAATTGTAGACTCGATAACGTTAATTACACGCGAATATACGGTACTGAAACTTCGAACGCGTTTGTGTGTAAAACGTACGCAAAATTCAAGATGGCAAGTGGAACACTTCTAATGTTTTAACTCTCTGGTCATAATAATAAGCGGACTTTACTGTTGCATTATTGAACTAATCTGGTGGTTGAGCAACACATTTTTATGCACCCAAGTTTGATAAATTCGTTCTCCAGTTCATACGCTGCAAAGGTATTTATTTGTTCACTTTCTGGATAATGCCTGCCACTTTTCTAACTACATATCGATAATATCTAATACAAAAATAAAAGGTCAAGAAACTGGCTAAAATTCTGGCGTACGTATGTAGAAATAGTAGTTAAATGTTTGCGTTAGTATATAAATACATTCTATTGTCTTATTTGCATCTTGCGTAAGATATGTGCTAATGAGGAGAAGTTAGAATAGTTACAATATAACAAGCAAACGTTCAAATAATAAAATGCCACTTTGAATCAATTACAATGTCATTGCCCTTTTGTACTTGAAATGAAAGACACCTTACATTATTTATATTATGGTGTAAGGGAATTGTTTCCAGATTCAGTATAGTGTTTTGATTGACTACAGTCGAACTTCGTTGTTATACCGAAAGATGCTGACTTCTCGCTTTTTTGAATAGTAACTTTGCTCGCCATAACAAATTTAATTGTAAAATGGTACCAAAGGTCGATACAAGATTCTACTCTAACTGATTTATACAAAAAATCGTCACGTGATAAAAGTATGATAATAATTGGCTATAACATGAGGACAATGTCGTTAGTCTGCATATTAAGATTTTTTAAATTATAATGAATTTAAAGTCTTTCGTGAAGAGAAAGGTGGCATTGCATAGTATTGCTAAGCAAAACAAACTCGAGTAATTGCCGATTAGTCCTGGACTGTCATTTACATTGTGTGACTGATATTATGTCGCTCAACATTGCTATATTAATACTAACATTGTGTCACACACCAAACAATGATTGTACTGTCAGTGGCGCAGCAATGGCGCAGATCTATTTGAAATACAGCTCGACCAATGTCAATGCGTCTGTAAAGTATTGTCATCTGGTTTTGTCCGATGTTTCGGAGACCGCTTTTCGATACGATTTGCACGTGATAATTCGCAAACTCGCTTCGTCGTACCTTTTCCTAAATCTTTGCTAAACTTTATTATACAATTCCTCGATATATATACTTCCTCAACAGAAATTATAAGAGAGATGCTCATGAACAGATCAGCTGTCATGGTCGACAATGATCACGATTCAACGATTCTTACCAATCACGCTTATTAGTCTACACGTGAGACTGATCACTGCCAAAAATGCAGCCTTAACTCCGGAGAATGTCAGCGCAAGCGATCAAAGAGAATGTCAAAAAACTATTCTGCTGAGTGAACGTCGATTACCAACAGAAGCAAGAACAGTTAAGTAAGCACATACACTATCTGATAGTCAGGTTAAAGAACGATAGAGCAATTTGCATCTAGAGAAGAGTAAGTATAACCGTTTAATATTCTTAGATATTAGCTGAACCGATCCATCTGAAAATCACTTACACACACACGTTCACCGTGACTCAACTACGCCAACACGGAAATCAATCACGTCACTACATGCATAACATCAAAATACATAAACTTGTCATTACGTTTCTTTCCTTTCTTTCGCTTCCTTCCCCAATTCGTAATTACCCAGTTTTGCTTATTTCTTATCGACGTTCCCTCTTCCTGATTTCAACCTCTAAACGAAACACCTTACTACTTTTCATACGCTCACGCTTGATATAATATTCACGAATCACGGTCGCCCACTGGATTACTCTGTTCTTCCATTATCAAAAGTAGGGCGACTTTGTCATTTCACCCTGCGTTGAATACATTGCTGTCCTTCAACAACGGTGAAATAACAGGTCCATACATTTATTAGACAGACTGCGTGCGCGGCCTTTCATTGAGTTAACTTGATGGAATCACGTACTACTCGAAAAAAAACTTCTATCGATATCCCTGATACCATATCCACCCGTACTCGAAGTCAATCTCGAACTAACTCAAATACACAAAATACTTCTACACAGAGCGCAGATAGCCAGAATATCACGCAGCATATATACAGTACACAGAATATAAATAGTATTACACCACCACCATCCTCACAGAGTTCCGTCGTTGAAGCATCCGAGTTAATTGATAGTCAAAGCGTCGCTGTAACAAGGGGCAGAAGAAAGTCTACGTCTTCTTCTATAAGACAGGCTGAAGGATCGGCCGATACGATGTAAGTCGCAATTGAATTGGGAGAGGTTTTGAGAAAATTATACCGAGAATGCTTTGGATAAAAAGTGATCAAGTGGTTTATCAACGAAATCCAGGTTGATGATATGTCAGTACGTCTGTAGTAACTCTTAATTTTTAAAGCATTGATGTCTCGGTTTATTCTTAAATAATTGGCTTTCAAATATTGACTATTGATCTACAGACTGTTATATTCTCACGCGTAATTCACATTCTAACGATTTTCTATCGTTTTCGATCTCTATGTTTTCCTTTGCATATTGTTTCCATACATGTCGCTCGACCTTTCTCTTTCTCTGTGATATATTGTTGATCGTTCAGCTCAACTCCAACACCTTCAAGAAGATCATCCCGATCAGATAGATCGACTACTCGCTCACCGATCGCTCTGACAGTCTCATCATCTACTTCCTCCACTCGGAAAGGCAAAGCAAAATTAAACCAATCAACTACTACAACATCCCGCATCACTCGAAGTCAGGCACGAGAATTTGAACAGACAGCAGAAGAACTTGAACAATCAAGAGATAAAGGGAAAAGAAAGAAGGAAGAGTACTTGTCTGAAAGTTCCGAAGAAAGATCACCTGACAGAAGCGTAACAAAAAGATCAAGACTAAGTAGAACTAATTTGAACAGAAAGGAAATAATTGCCGATAGTGAAGAAAGAAGCAGCAGCATTAATACAAGATCGTCCAGCAGAACATTATCCCGCAAAGGAACGATTAGTAGTAGTAATACTGGTAGTAGCAGAACTAGAACAACTATGCCTAAGAAAGCCAGGTGCGTAGCAGAAAATGACACATGCAAAATATTGTCCTCGGAAGCAACGGCCAATCTGATAATAGTTGACGTATGCGATAGATATATCGTTATGCAATAATGTACGTTAATAACATTGTACCAACAATGTCTTCTCATATTTTAGTAAATCGACATCTAAAGCAGTACCAGCAGCATCACCCGAAGCAAGCAGTAGTGCTGATACTCGTGAATCAAGGCCACTAAGACGCAGTTCTGATTCGAAGTCAACGCCGTCCAAGACGGCAGAACTTGAGAATACTGCCATGGAAGGTTAGTTATGATAAAATATACAACAATGCTGAAAGCCATAAATAGACGTCTACAGATTAGTGGATCAATTTCTTAATTACATTTTTCATTTACCCTTAATTTGTATAATACATTTGTATTCGAACTTATGTCGTTCGCTTCTCCGAAACCAGCTGTTCCAACACCTACGCCAGCAAGTCAAACACATACCGCTTCATCTTCTTCCACTTTATTACCAGCGACAACCGACGAACCAACCAATCCCTCAAACTCTCTTCAAACATCTTCATCCGAAGACCACCATGCAGAGGAAATGGATGACATGTCTTCTGAAGATGCTTCTTCTCCATCTAATTCCCACTCTCGCCCCACCGGCCTTTTTTCTCTGAATCCTCCTCGCACTTCTTACATTCCTTCCACATCCTCAGCTTCTTCAGACCTAATTTCTCGCCTACGCGATCCCGAACAACAATTAATTGCTCTCCATAGTCTTTCAGAACGTATAGCTATGGCTCAAAGTGAAGATCAGATAACAAGTACTATGAACATCGACGCAGTTATTAGAGAATTGGTTGCAATATTGAGGAGAGAGGTGTCAGATGAAGGTGCAAAAGGAAGCGAAATACCGATTTTTGTTTGCAGATGCTTGGCAAATTTGGTTGATTTATTCCAGAATTCGGCGGAGAGGGTTATTAGTGCGGGTGTTATACCGGTTTTGTGTTCTTGTTTGGTCATTGACCAAGAAGCGTTGGATTTTTATATTGATCTACCGGAGAGCGCGATTAATGTACGTTGTTATAAAGGGGAAACAGTGGAATACTTAAGCTTCGTTCATACAATGACACGGATTTGTGACCGTGAGAGTGATGTTTATAATGAGAGTGGTGTTTCTAGATATGGCTTTTGTCGGAGATGCGTTGTGTTAACATACCTTAAACGTTATATTCATCAATTTTCTTTTATACCTTTATCCTCGTCATCATCCCTTACTAAAACAAAAGGCCCTGCTAAAGCTCTCAACACGAAAATCATGTACGTCTCAAATAGTACGAGAAGGTGGTTTGTCCGCGCTTGCTCTTGTCAGTTTTCTCGGCTCTTCCGGCCGAGATTATATCAATCTACTGGCAAATTGTGCCGAGAACTTTCCTACCGATTGTTTCAATGTCGTAAGGGATAACATAATTCCGAACTTGAATGAGTTTCTGTGTTTCTCGGATCCTCGCGCGGTGGAACAAGCATGTTTGGCCGTTTCTAGACTTGTAGATAGTTTTAGACATAAGCGAGAGGAATTGGAGGTGAGTTTTTTAGCGTAAGAAATATGTCCGCACATTTTAGGAGTTATTTAGGAACCATGTTGAAATCTGTTAGGCAATCATATCTGACGGTGTCCTAAGAAAAATTATCGATTGCATTCGACCGAACAGCAACACCAGAATGAGGTATTTTTTTTACCGTTTCTTAAGCATATTTATATTATTTGTATCACATCTAATCCTATCGCTTTCTTAACCTCCAGCCCATCGACAATAGTTCATATATGGCGCATGCTAAGCATCGTGGCACACGAATCTCCAAAGATTGCTACCTCTCTTATAGACAATGAGATAAAATTAGACGGTGATGTCACATTCCTCGACATCCTTTACGAAGCTCTCACTGGATTTAATCCTAACGCTGTAGGGGTACAACTTCAAGTGCCCAAGAACCAAAGTCAATTTAGAGAAATATTAGGAGTTATTTCAGAGTTATTGCCCGCTTTGCCAACAAGTGAGTGTATTGAGAAGTTAGGCCAGTTGATTCGAATGATTAATCGTTAATAATTCTTTGTAGCTGGGGTGTTTGACATGAGCTTACCAAAAGAAATAACGGCTGGCACAATTGAAGATCAAAACCCGTCGTCGTCAACAACACAACCCACAACACCGGATCTACAATCATTACCACAACAATCTTCAACCGCAGAACTCGCTCAAACGGAAGCAATGGACATTGATAATGAAGACTCAGAGAACAGCGAAGAGGAGGATGAGGAGGAAGAAGAAGAGGAGGAAGAGGAAGAGGAGGAAGAAGATGAAGAGGAAGAAGATTCCGACGAAGATTTAAGTTTGCATCACGACATTCCAATAAGTAACCCATCCTCTCAATCGGCATCAGATGAACGAAATTCTATCGAACTTCATCTACAATTACTCACATCGAAACGTGGTCGTATGCACGAATTTGGCAAAACATTTTTGCCGACTTTGATTAATGTTTACAATTCAACTGTTAACGCAACTATAAGATTAAGGATCGTTGTCGCTTTGGCAAAGACAGTGCACTACTTTGATGAAGAAATACTAAATGATATTTTGCAGGTTTGAAAATTGAGTCTAACAGTTGTTTGTTTCTAAGACAAACGTCTCGTCGTAATGCAATTTGTTGCTTACCTGTGCGTTTTATAACAGAACGTCAGCTTTGCTGTATTCTTAAGTGGAATTTTACAAGAACAACAAGAAGCAACTTTAGTTATAAAAGCTCTCCAACTTGCAGAACTGCTGATGCAAAAACTACCTGCTCATTACGAGAAACAATTCTTCCGTGAAGGCGTCATGCATGAAATTGCTAAACTGGCCGATACACCAGAAAGCGTATGTAAACAACCCAGCAGGTCAGACGTACCACAAGTAGGTTTCTTTCTTAAATTCAGGGCGTACCGCACAATAGTTCTAGATTCTTAGATGAACTGGTAAAGGCAACGTCAGCGCAAGACGTTGCTGTGAAGTTACTACAAAGTGTGATAATTCAGTAGTTATAGTGAATGTCTTCCCGACTTTTTCATTCACTGTCCGTCCTTGTTCTTTTTTTTTTCTTCCTTCGTAGACATTCCCTGCCTTACACTCCCGCCGACTCGCTTCCTCCAGAGTCTCTACCGAGCGTGGTCTTGGGTCACGAGATTCCCGAGCATGGATAATTCATCGCGCACGCTGTTTTCGTGAAGGTTACATCAAAGATAACAAGGACTTTAGTCATCTAATTAACGATCTAAAGGCATATGCTGCAGCTTTAAAAGGTACAAAAGAGGAACCGACAGCTGAGAGTACATTGAAAAAAATTGCAACCTTGTTTTCGGATTCAGCGAGTAGTATTTCGTCATTTGAGCTTGTGAATAGTGGGCTTATGGAAGGGCTGTTGGAATATTTAACTTCGACGCATGAAACCGGTATGATGCTTTCGATTTATAACGGCATAATTGATTTTTGCTTTCCAAAGCTAAATCTGCTTGAGCAAATTGTTAAAATAACTCGTATTTAATTCATCTGAACGCAAATTCACAGAACTAAGTTCTGTCAATGACCGCCGGCGAACATTTTTACACGTTTTCCTCGGAGGAATGGACCCCAAAAAGGCCAAGCAAGGTTTGGCTATTCTTCTTGATCCCGATTTCCAACATGAACGATCTCCTGTTTGCCCGGCTCATAATATTACTACGGGATCGATAGGAGCATTTGAACTGTTGGCAAAGCGACTACAAGAAAGTTTGAATCGGTCAGAGCGGTTTGAGGTTACTACTGCTTTTCAAACTATGAGCAGTGAGTATTTAAAGTTTGAAACCAACATTACTATTATCGATTTATACGTCTTTAGAGTGGAGATTATTTTTAGTCATTATCAATTGATATTTATTATTTTCGTTTGCTCATGAAATGTCTGTATTAACATCTTTTCTCTAGTCGACCTAATACGGAACCCGACAGGAATTCTGGCTAAGCATCTTAAATTGAGATTAATTTCACGTATGCTTTGATTGTGGCAAGTGATCATTTTTATCTGCGGATTGATAATTGCTGACACATATGTGACTTTATTATTCAGTTGATAATGAGAACGCGCGAAAAATATCAATACAATCACTAGTTCCATTTAAGGCTATTGAAGAATGGCTTATGTGGAGGATTGATTCGGCGAGGAACAGAGCACAGGAAAACACAGACGTGAATGCTAGCGCCAGTGCAACCATAGGTGCTGGAACAAGTAATGGTAATGACAATGCTTCTGACGGAAACGTACTTACAAGAAGCAATAATACTACAACAAGTGAAGCTATATCAGTAGAGGCTGGAAGTTCCATCAATACTGCATCAGTCGCGGAACAGCTTGTCGCAGACATTCTTGCATCTTCAGTATCAAGTCGACGTCGACCCGGTCGTGAAATTAACACTAGCGGAAATCAGGTTCCACCTAACCTTGGGTATGTGATATTTATCCCATTCATTTTCATTTAAAAGAAAAGCTCTTGCGTCATTAGTGATAATTACGCGCAATAGATCAACCGAGACGAGAGATCTTGATACGATGGATGTCGATGATGATGATGAGGATGAAGACGACGACGAGGACGATAGTATGAGATCCAGAGAAGATACCCCGTTTAATGAAGATATAGAGTTTGCTTATCTTCGACGAGATGCTGACTCGGATCATGATGATATGCATGACATGAACGACAGTGCTGAAGGTGACAGAACTGTGATAGTAATTGTCAGTTGGATGCACAAATTATATTTATACATTCTGCGTTTTACTTTACAAACATTCACCTTTACACTATATCAGATCCATTACCAACAACGACTTCAAGACCATCGTCAGTACCATCAACCTCAACGAATCAACGACATCGCTACTCTACCCATCCCGGTTGGCAAAAACCCAAAGACTGGCACATAGAATTTTACATTGATGGTACACGCATCAATCCCAACACTCGCGTATATGCGGCTATTCATCGTCATCGACAGCGTACTTTAGTAGAAACCCGCTTCTGGGAAACAACTCACGAAATCAAATATCGTCGAGTAGAAGGCCCCCCTTCTATGGAAGAAGAGAAGCCCGAGCCTCTCGACCCAAATGATGTCAATACCCAATTACTAAACCTCCTTAGAGCTCTATTCGAACTAAATGAGAAATGGGACGAGATATATACCGAAGGAGATCTGACAATTGCAAAGATAGAACGACGGTCTGTGACAGATTTTATTAATCACAAGCTTACAGCAAAATTTGAACGGCAAATGGAAGAACCATTGATCGTGGCATCCAAGGCATTACCATCATGGTGTTTTAATCTTGCGAGGGAATATCCGTTCTTGTTTCCGTTTGAAACGCGACATACATTTTTGCAGAGCACATCATTTGGGTTTACGAGGATGTGGAATAGGTGGCATGCTCATAACAATCGGGGACATGGGCATCAAGAGCAGCGGCGGGAAGAGATAGGAAGTAGGTTGAGAATAAAGACACGAATAACAAGAGCAAATATGTTGCAAACTGCATTTGAAGTGATGAAGAGGTTTGGTACTAAGGATTCTGTGTTGGAGGTTGAGTATTACGACGAGATAGGGAGTGGATTGGTAAGTAAATGGTTTTTAAGGAATACACGCCATTATACTCTTTACTTATGCCATTGATATGATAGGGTCCTACACTTGAATTTTACTCTACTATATCAAAGGAGCTCTGCAAAAAATCTTTGAGAATGTGGAAAAACTACTCTGATGATGGCGATATCTATGTTAATTCGCCAACAGGACTATACCCAATGCCAATGAGTCCAGAATTGACTAGTAGTGAGAATGGAAAAAAGATAATTAATTTATTTAAGTTCGCTGGTCAATTTGTAGCAAAAGCGATGGTAGACTCAAGGATCATAGATATACCATTTAATCCAATATTTTTGAAAAAAGTACTTAGGGAAAGTGTCCCACATACGTTAAGGACATTAAGGGTAGGTGAATATGAATATGTATTCTAAATCTCAGTATAATGACGATGTACAAGAATATATTACTGACTGAATTGCATCTGACCCTTGCAACAGCAAATCGATGAATACTGGAGTAATTCACTGGGCAGTCTGAAAGCCTCGAAAGGCTGGGGAACAAATTCGCTTGGCTTGCAATTCACGCTGCCAGGATGTGACAATTTTGAATTAATATCAAACGGCTCTAATATTGATGTTACTCCGGCAAGTATCCAACAGTACACCGACGCTGTCATATCGGCCGTGTTGGATCCCGGTGTTGAGAAGCAAGTGCAGGCATTCAGGGAAGGGTTTAATCAAGTGTTTCCAATTGACGATTTGAAGATATTTACTACAAGTGAATTGGTGGCATTGTTTGGTAACGAAGAAGAAGACTGGTCAATAGAAAGTAAGTGAAATGAATATGGAAGGAACCATTATATTTTGAATGTCAATCGGTTGTTGGATTACAAGTCTCATCCAACCCCTGAACCATATTGCGTTTGTAGCTATGAGAGACAGTTTCAACGCGGACCATGGATATAGTATGAACAGTCCGGCTATCAGGAATTTACTCGAAATACTATCTGGGTTCAACGTAGAAGAACGTAGATTATTTTTGCAATTTGTCACAGGTAGTCCGAGACTACCGATTGGAGGTAATGTTTTATTAACTGTCTTAATTTACTTGATGAACCATCATCCACTCAACACATTTTTTAATAACAGGATTTAAGAATATGAGACCTGTGTTAACGATTGTATGCAGAGGCAGTGATCAGAATTCACCTGATGAATCCTTACCATCGGTCATGACATGTCAGAATTATCTCAAATTACCTGACTATCCAACGAAAGAAATTATGCGCGAAAAACTATGTTACGCAATGAGAGAAGGACAGGGAAGTTTCCATTTGTCGTAGATGGAATTGTATATGAATAGCTATAAAGTTAAATCTGTTTTCTGTATCTTGTTTTTACATGTTTTAAAAATAAAAATTACTCAAATAATAAATCATCTATAAATGTGCGATCTTTTATTTGCTGAACAACGTTTCATTCATTTATCAATATTCCTATGCTATTCTCAAATTATCTTCGTGCTCAGCATTTCCGTGCACTCGAATTCTATATATGCAAGTGTAACGAGGATTACCCCAATTACTATTCACCTTCAATAACACAGCTATAATAGGTCTATTTAATCTCTCTGGCAACTCAAATGTTTGTACTGATCTTCCATTAATATCGTATACGAATTTGCCGAGAAAGACTTGTGTTGGGGAAGAGCCCAACTTGAAAGTCCCACTACCGATAATATTTTTGATGATAGGATCGTTTGGATCGACATAAGCTTCATCAGCAAAATTGTTGCGTAGTTCAAAATCAACTATATCTAAATGACGTTCATGGTGATCTCTAGGCGTACAATTATCGCGATATCCAACAAATCCCCACACTTCGAATTCCTTGGGGGCAGGACTTAGGTCGAGGGCAGTTCTCTTCGACGCGTGATCGTATGTCACTGCTGTTGGATATATGGGTTGTGATAATAATATGCCCACCTGCCCTTTATGACCAGTGAATGGCCAGCATTGACCTACGTGAACAGAAGGCATAATGGCAGTCACTACACGCGGCAAATCAAAGAAACGGATGAAACAAGTTAGAAATAGGTCCGACATCATTATTATTAACCAGATTTAACCAAACGTTCACCACACCTGGAGGTTTGCCCTGGAGCGTTCCATAATTCGACCAATATGCAACCTGTTTCTCCCACCAGCTGTCAGGATATTGAATGTATGTACGCGACGTCAATTGCCCTATGATCTTAGCTCCAGCAGAACGAAGAGCGTAATCGGTCCTACCAACAATATCATCTGAAAAAAGTTGCAGGCGCTCTTTAATGGCTGCTCTAGTCTCTTCCTTGATGATAGACGCTATCATATCGCGCTGTCTATCTGATGAGTCTAAATAGAAAGATCCAAATGAATTGCCGCCATGAATTCTATCATTACTGTCTATGAAATGAGTTCGTACTTCAGCAGCGACCAAAGCTCGGACAATAGCTCTCAGTCGATTTCCTTTGAGATCATCTTCATTCCTGATATTCATTTGTTTCGTCACCGCAGTTATAATCGCTTGAGATACACTATCGCTATCACCCGTACAATTGTTTCCTAGTGTCATTAACGGGATTTGTATCGCAAAACGATCTTGCAAATGGCAAACAGCACGGTTAGTATTCCTCCATACATATGCTCGAAACGTTGGTATATAGAACAGAGCCGCCAATGACAATAATAATACTGATACTATTATCCTTATGCGAGTAGATGTCTGACGCTTGTATACCCAAAATCTTATTATTTTATTAAAAATAGCATAGGCGGATGTTAATGCTTGCAAAATCAATTTCCAGAAAAGACTCATAATCCATAGAACATATTCGCACGTCAGTCCAACAATCCGCACGATATTACGCGTCAGACAGAAAAACGCGGACGCGATCCGATTTACAACTTTCTGCTCCGTCTTTTGTGTTGTCTCTAATATAGCGTCTTGTGAATCATTGGTCGACGTCGAATATTGAGAATCAGAATGGACTAAGAAACTGTGAAAGTTGTTTGTTATGCCTGGTTGGATTGAATTATTTAATACTGTGTTCGAAGAAAGATCGAACATCCCATTAGAAGTCGAACTGTCAGAACTGGTGGAGTTTAACGAAGCAGTTGATATAGTTGAACTTTCTGCGCTAAATGCTGGAATACTGTCAAAACTAGAAGTCGAACCAGATGGGGTACCACCGCTCTCGCTTCCACTCCTCTCTCCACTCCTATCGGACAACATATTTACCAATTCTCCATTCGAGCTAAGGTCGGAGTCGGAAGAAACTGTAATGACTGGCGAGTTATATTGGTCGTCGTGAATATTAGGCGTCAAATCACTGACAGTTCGTTGTAATTGTCCAATCGACAATTTAGGCTTGCTCCTTTCATACGCGTTACTACTCTCTGCATTTCCGCATTGCGGCTGAGCAGACAAGAATTTTTGGCGTCTATTTTGAGTGTTAGTTTTTGTGTTACTTCCTTGAATATGAGAAGATTGGATGGACGTATCAGTAAGACTTTGGGTGTTTTCTTGTCCTTGTGTTGTCGAAGGCGATATCACAGCGTCATTAAACCTCTCCTGGGAAACTTTACTCCCGCCGCTATTACCACTGCTACTCTGTAACAGCTCTCTCTGACCACTACGCGACGAAATGTGAAAGCTTTCGTCAATACGTTCTGATATGTCACTCTGACCAGGTGGTTTTCTTGTTGCCGGCCGTATTGTTCGCATTTTTTTTATGGTCAATGCGTGTTTGCACGGGATAATAAATAGCAATATTTGAGGGCGTGAAGCGTGTTTTGATTGCTTTTTTATTGTGTCCTATGATTGGTGGAATTTGGCGGAAACGTTAATATTAAGTTGATGATACGTGATACCATTGTCATACGTTGAAAAGGAATAAATTAATTAATACCAACATATTTAGTATGTTGGGAAAAAGCGGAGAAAATCTATGGTTTAACCAGTTACGGTCTTCTGTTATAAAAAAAAAATTGCTGAAATGACTCACAATTGAAGATTACAAGGGTGAAACCTAGACACGCTCTCATTGAACTTGGAAAGTAACTTGCCCGAAAAATTGGCTATTTCTTCCGAATCTTTTTGTTTGGTTTACCTGTGGAAAATTCTTGGTAACATTTTTACCTTAATTAAAACAACGAACAAACAATTACTTATTACGTTTGCGCAACATAGTATTTGCTGCGGCGCAAGATCGTGTCGTTTTTTGAAGAAAGCGGGAACTAATGATTAATTTCACGTGACTTTGAGTAACATACTTGGTGTTGTGCAGGGTTTCGAGCTTTTACAACAGAGTAGCAATGGTTGTGGATGATATTCGACACCAACTACGCAATTACCAACCGAAATTGCATACTCGATAAAGAATTAAATCTCAAACGCCCGTTGAAAATTTGGTAGTCGCCTTTCTGTCCTAATTTCAGCAAAAATTTACTGTCTTATAAAGTAAATCCACATGGGCATAAGACACCGAAATGGTATGGCGAAGTTATACCCGATATCTCTGGCAGTCATGCTGTACTGACCTATTGTCAAGGAATCCATCTCATTAATTTATTCAAACGTCTTTCTTTGAAGGGTTTAGTAATATAAAATTTTGTCTATAACCAAGAAAGCGCGTCTACAACAATGCGAGCATTCACCGTTTATCACTACCACTTTAGAATGTATCTGGTTGTTAAATTCATTGTTGTACTATTCTACATGCGTCAGGTAGAGTATTGATATTATCAGCACTTGTTTGACCAACAAAGAAAATTTTGTATCTAATACAACGACATAATTCTACATGACGTAAAAGCATTATTGATCATCTGCTTTCGCAGTTTGTCGAATTTGGAATATATCGATAACAGTCTGGATTCCATCCGAAGATTAGTATTCAGAAAAGCTTGATTAGTGCATAGTGGACCAAATCGACGATAATGGTGATGCCAGAGAATGAACTGTCTGTATGTAGATTATGTGGATCAGGTCTTAGTGTATGTATCATTTTAGCGTTGATGAGTTAGCAGCGTACTAAGAGATATTTGTAACAAGAATTTGTGAGAAGAATTGTTTATTATTGGGGAAAGTTATTATTATACAATAATTAGGATATGTAATAGTGGCGTTGTTCTTGTGATTCCTAGTCTCGGATAGAGTAATTATTTAGTAATAACTTAGTTGTTAGCGCCGTCTGTTTCTTTATTAAAATAAAGTATATGGACGTATCTGACTCATTACAATCATCTGCTCACCATTAATATGACATGTTTATTCGATCAGAATAAAATTTTATGTAAGCTCTTTCATTCCTCATTTTCTTGACCAAACCACTCATAGACAACTACGACTGAAAACGATCCAAGGCGCGTCATCAATGTCGGCTTTCGAGATGTATTGCTGGTTGCTCATGACAAACACTATTGATTATCAAAGACAACATATTCATGTATCTGCTTTATTATTATGCTAACACTATTAAGAGGAGTAGCAAAGTTACTTAGGAGTTACTTGCTATCTTGATCACGGCCGCCAAGCTATCAACACGAGAAAGCGAAGGAATAGGATCCGAAAGTTGATATGTAATAGAATAATGGCACTAGCTTTACACAGGCCGCAGTTTTCCAAGATCAAAAATCTTGTGACAGATCGTGTGACTAAGACTAATATACGACGTCGACATCAAATTTTGACAACTCTCAACTTTCAAATCCATCCGTCCCTCTTTCCAATGCTTCAGTAGAATCTTTGCATTTGAGCACTTGTGAATTTGTCAATAATTTAAGAATTTACAACAGCAAGCAGGTATCAGATAACAATTGACGTAATTTTTTTTAATTCATGTATCAGATTAATATTATCTCGTGACGAAAAGGCAATAGTTTTAATATGGAGTCTGTCAACATTATGTATCATTCTTATCGAACCATAGTTTTACAGTTTTATCTTTTTCGATTGCTCCTGTGGCGATTATGTTTTTGGTTGGATGACACGCAACAGCTAAAACAACGTCTAAATACAAGTCACCATGGACACAAGAGTGGGAATGGAGAAACAAGCATTTTGATAAGTGATGCAATAGAAGCAAGAGGCAGTATATCAGACATAAGTATGTTCATGATAATGTGTCTTACACGGTGAAACCAACAGTCGACAAGCAACAGATATCCCTTACCCGAGTGTCCTTCCAACTTCTGCACAATCTGTTTACTCTGTAAATCCCAGATATACACGCCATGATCCTCGCTACCACTGACAATCCACTTTCTGCCAGTAACCGAAAAACTAGCGAAGATGCAGTATTTATCATTCTTATGGCCAGTATATGTCTTTAAACATTTTCCAGTATGGTAATTCCACAGGCGAAGCGTGTTATCAAGCGTGGATGCCAGGATATATTTGCCATTCGGAGAAAATTTGACAAATGAGCTGTTGACAAGGAGGGGAAGACCGTTACGAAAATAGTTGAATAAGAGAGGACAAAACAATTAGTACCGTTTCAACATCAGAATAACGCGAACTTGAACTGAATGTTGAACTTACACAGGAGGATTATCATCGTCTACCAACGTTTTCAAGCATTGGCCAGTTGCTGTGTCCCATATGCGTCTACAAGAAAACACCCATTAGAAAATATCAATTCAAAGGAACATAAATATTCAACTTACATTAATCCATCATAACTGCAAGACACAATCATGGTCCCATCTCTATTGAAATGCACTCCTGTGACAGGATCAGAATGTGCAGGTAACGTTTTCATACATTTTCCTAGAGATGGAATTGGTAAGTGAAAGCGAGCAAGGTATGTGCTATTCCAAGAATACTAACCTTGCCGTACGTCCCATATCCGTATACTTTCGTCAAAAGAACCAGATACGATTAAACTCGATTGGGGATTATAATTCACACAGAACACGTAATTCGTGTGTCCTCTCAATACATGGGCGACTTTACCCTATTCACCATGGAAAAAAGATATCAAACATAAGATATGGAACAATGGTAAGTAAGTCTGTTTCGTTGTTGTTTCAATACAAACTCAATCACACACTTACAATATTTGCATCCCATATTCGTATTGTTTTATCATCTGATGCGGAAGTCAGGTACTGCGAATCGGAGGACCATGCTACGTCTGAAATACCTTGACCATGGCCCTCGAGTGTCTGTACGAATTTACCATCTAGCGCATTCCATATCTTGATTGTTTTATCAGCGGCTACGCAAAGTGGACGGTGGAAACATTTAATATGGAAAAGGGAAAAGAATGGAAGTGCAACAAGCGTTGAAGTAAGACAAGTGGTACGTAAAGATCAGGTTGAGAGTAATAATTTGTAGCTGAGTAAATTTCCTTGACTGTCGACTTGATTCCTTTGGACTATTCGCGTATGTATAGCGCTTTCACGTTTCTTTCGAGAAAGCTGATACTCACAACTACTAGCTAGCCATTTCCCATCGGGAGAGAACTTAACGCTAGAAACGGCTTTTTTATGTCCCACTAGACTATATCTTAACTCGTAGTTGGATTTTTGTTGATTAGTTGTCGGGTTGTTCGCCGACGAACTTGTGGTTGCTACTTGTTCTGAATTATGTATTCGGCTAACGACTGAGCCGTCTTCGGCCTTTAGTTTCTTTGTTGCTGGTTGGTCAAAGCTAGGCCCGCTTAGTGACCTATCGTGGTCCATTATCATTGTATTAGTCGCCATTGAGAAGTGATTAAAGCTCGAGTTGGGTAGAAAGGAAAATTTTTTGCAGTAACATATCTATGTCGCACAAGAGTAAAATTTTTGTCACATGGTATTGGTTATACTACGGGCATTCCGTAGATGTCACCGGCGAATGGGAATGAGAATCCTCAGCAAGTTCAGCATATGTATCTTGATTTACGCGTGGCGAGGAAATTTTATTTTTAAATTAATTTGTAAACAACATTACATTTAAAAATTGTTCAATATACTCAGTCAACATGTCAATTCTCCTCTACTATTTTCCGTTAACTTTGCGCCACTGGGTCTGCACTCCCATGATGGACGTAATGAATCCAGCAAGGCCTACGAGTCCATCATCCAGGTCGATATATTTGAGTGATTTCATTGGAAGGATAAGGTCTAAACTGTCCTGGACGAGCTGACGAACGACTGGCTCACGTTCTCTGCAGAAAGGATGTATCAGTTTGATTCGATATAAACGTTCGTCGCATAATCAAAGCATGCTTACTTTTCGATATCCTTGCATCGCGATTTAATATCATCAGGGTCTCCAACTCCCTTCTCAGACCCTTTCAAAGAAGCCCTTAGATTCTTATAACGTAGACTGATTCCGTATAATTTATACAAACTGCTGAGGATGGAAAAGATCAAACCAGCCATCCAGAACCGCATTGATCTCTCCGCAATCGTTTTTATTTGCTTAATTTTGTATATGCCCGTTCCATTAAGCTATATTTGAGACATACAATACGAAGCATAGATCGATTAGGATAAGAGCAAAAGAAGAAAGCACACCTATTGACCGGCTACGTAACAAAATGCGTATACATATATACATTATGGGACAAGCAAGTCTCATTGTAATGTCTAGGTACAGAATATGCATAAAAAACATAATGTATAATACTAAGATTAAATTTTCTTACCCAAACAAATGTGTCCAGGAGCAAGTATCCTGCATAACTGAGCTGTCTAAAGGTAGATGTGAATTTCAAAACTTCATCCTTCTCATTCCACGCCTTGGATGCAGATTGTAGATGCTCCACAGGTTTACCGAGACGCATGACTGGTAAATGGAAGGATTTTCATATCAAATATTAATTTGGGCAATTAAGATTAAAAATTTGACGTGTCTGAATTTAGGTTTGTTAATATCGATCCACTTGTCTGCCAAAATAAAACAATTGTTCGCTATGAACGATAGTCCAGCTTACGTTTCCTAGATAAACTCATGTTCTTTTTCAACGCTTCCCATCGTTGGATAGTTGCTTTGTCGTATCCCTGACGAAGCAGATACCAAGCCATAAACCGTGCAAAGTTCTGGGCTGCTCTGTATACTTTATCACGACCAACTGTAGTGCTGGCATATTTTAGTGAAGAATTCACCATCGGATGTTGAAGCGTCTCGATAACCATTGTTGTTCGTCTTTGCCTGGCGGCAAGAGTGGTGTGAGAAGTGTCAAAAATCAGTTCAAAAGCATGCCTCGATTATGACGTCATTATGTTGCAGTTTAATTTGTCGCACAAGCGAATCAAATACCTGTAACATGCGATTTCGATAATCTTTATCCCTTCACATTACGAAAACTTAAAATGGAAGAATTTCGACCACACCACCGTTTCAGATGTCACAAACCACGAATTCACCATTTTGGGTAAATCGAACTTTACCAAACAATGAATGAAAAAAGTATTATACAACCTTTATTTAGCTTAAAGTAAATTAAACCTTTATTTTTATCAAGTTTAGTGAGTTTGGAGTAATCATCGAACTGAATGTTAAATAATAATTAGAAACTCCTTGTACATTACTGTTGTTATAACAGTTATATTAATATTTGTCGCAATTGTTCAAACCGTTTCATGATTTACTCAAGCCGTTGTCATTTCGATATATTTCACATACTCCTTCATTATCCCTTCTAACAAAATGCTTTCTTTATACTCCAAAATACATTGTTAGTGATCGTTTCCTGAAAATTATTGGTATAGTAGTGCCTTATGCCGATCAAGAGTATCCACTTCTTGTTCCATGGATATTCTCGTTGTTATTCGCTTAAGATGAGACGTAGGTTTGAGTAGGATGCGAAGTATATTCCACTCTATAAGCTTCTTAATTAATCCTATCGAGAAAAGTCGATTAACTCGAAGGCGAATAACCCGTTTAGGATTAGTTTACGGTCATTAACTGTCGTCGTATTTAACCGGAAGTAGGAGATATTTACAACTCCACGGTAAAAAATGCTAACGTGGCTGAATGATTAATTAATATTAAGCGATTGATATAAATGTTAGTAACACAACTCTATCACATGTCTGAATGAATAGTCAAAATGTAAACTGGGTCGAGGTAAATACCGTTGCCCTGCTATATTAATATCTAATCTGATTGCAATTGAAATTCAAGGAGTCAGAAGAATTCAATTCTATAGCTTTTGCTAAAGCTATTGCACCTCTAATCTCGTTCTACCAGACAGGTGAAATGTTGCCCAACAAATATCTTCCCTTGCATTTGTAGATTGTGTTGTATTCTTCAGTGACAAAGAGATGTCACTCTGACTTAGCACTCATTTCATGTTTTACTTGCAGTTATCATTATATGATGTCGATATAGAGAATATTTGCTTTTAAAAAAGTTTTTTAAAATGAGAAAGAGGAATTCAAAATCGAGGTATCCTCCGTATAATATTAGTAATAAAACAACGACGCGATCCTGACGACTTTCTAACTTATTTCAATTCATTGCGAGCACGAAAACCGTATTCCTTTGATTGTTGTCAAGGCGCCGTCTTCTACAACTCACGCCTACAGCGTTCCATGCACAAAAAATTCTCGCTCCGTCCATGTCACCAGTCATGCACATCCCTATACTGGCGCGTATGGTCACTATGCGCTCGCGTTAGATATCTGGGGCTGAACGTTACGAATGTGCGTGTTTTAGATTCCAGTACCCTGCATGTCAGTATCCAGGCTTCTGTTATATACTTAATTGCATGTAGCCATTACGACCTTTCCAATGTTTGGGAATAGAGTATGGAGGTGTTCTTGTGCATGCGTGTTCAAGGCTTTGTTCTGTAAGATATTTCCAGTACAGTCAACGCTCGTTATAATGGAAAGTTGGGCATAAGCCAAAAACTCTACTTTAACTTGGTTATTACTATTACATTTCTCTTTATTTTTCGGCTACTTGCCATATTACGTAATATGAGTGGCTTAGTCAATGCCATTTACGTGGTATGCAGACTGTGATTGATGTACAGGAAATTGCATGCAGTGAATAAACGAAGTTATTATTGTAAAACTGGACCCATATTCAAAAAAATTAAATAAACTTCGGAGAGCGAAATCTCCTGAATTATTGGTTGGTTATTCTTGGCTCGCTCATTTCTCCTAAAACAGCCAACTCCGCAGTACGGTCACAAGGTTTGCTGGCGTCATTCAAAGTGTTGGTGTTTCACAATAAATAAGATACTTTTACCTTTGTAAAGCAACCCCACACAAAAAGAACTGGATTTGATCAAGAAACAAGAAGAACATAAATAGTAAAGACAATGACGACGAAATTAAGGAATCGATGTTCATGATTGGTGTTGGAGCTGGTGTTATCAATGAATTTTAAATTTGCCTATGAAAAAGGCTATACTCGTTATGCTTTTTGGGTCCAAATAATCTTATACAATCATTATGACGTCTCTATTATTCGGGGACGATCAACGGTTTGAATTCTGAAACTTTAATTATAACAGACAATAGTTTGCGTATCGGAGATTTGCTATGTATGGTGTTACTGCGTGTAAACAATGTATGATGTTCAGCGATTGAGATCGATTTACACACACAAACGTACTTCGTATAACTGCCAGAGCGCCTTCTGGTGATTACCGGATACATTTTTTATGTTAATATCCCCTCGAAGACATCATTCTCAAAAGTTGAAGAGTTGGATACTTAAACCAGACCGATAGTTGATAACATTCTTATCTGGGTTGCATGCGCAATGTAACGATAATCTCATGTTATTCTTTATCTGGTTACTATTGCACAACATAAAAGCTAATCAGTTTACGACCATAGGTAATTTTTAATTTGCTTGCATATCGGATAGACTTTTCTTTCTCCCGCCCTATCTTACTGCGCCAGATAATCATCTCCTGATATAACCATTATGGTTTAGCTTATGGGCAATAGCAAATATCCTGCGCAATACACGCAATACTGCGTAATACACTCCTGCCCATCACATCTCCATCTGATGCAATTCAGCCGACCTTATAACCACTATTATGGACTAGACGCTCGCTTGTATGTTCCCCCCTGTTTGAGTGTATTACTTCTTTGTTCATATATAAATTGTTGAACTGATCTCGAGCCACAGTTTAAACAACTAACGCCACACCTTGTCCCACTCGCATTTATTCTAGCATTAATACAGTAATAAAGTAACTAAAAGTGTGAAGTAAATAGAAATAATTTTGGGTTAAGCAATGCCTGTATTAGTTCAACTTGATCCGATGCTTTTCTATTTCTCACCTTCTAATTTTCGTCATTCAAACTTTATTCCAATGGCTTTATTGTTAAATCTACTATAATCCACTTGTTAACGCATCTTTCTTGACATGGCTCTCCCACTTACCACTAAATTTCAATTTTGAAATCAATGCATTCTCGACTACAAAAGCTAGAAATTCTCATAGTCTCTAAAGACCTAATCCGATTTACAGCAGCCGTCTTATTGAAGAGGCAACCAACTGATGCTTTTAAACCAACATAAAGCTGACTGAGACGCGAGTGATGACATCATCAACCACATTTTTTTTGAGCACCAGCCACAAGGCTAGCATTTGATTGTTTGCAATCTGTCCATATAAGAGCCCTTTTTGTCTCCTCTGATTTGGTTACTACTTTTTTACCCAACTCTGGGATTACTACAAGAATTCTACTTAGTTAAATGACGAAGCAGGAGTGATGACAACTGCACCTTCAACAAATAGTAAAAACCAACACATGAGATCAGCTCCTCTTACGCTCTTAGGGCATAATGGATCGATGGTCTCTGTTATGGAATATCTGAATTTAACAGTGTCGCCATTTTCACTACCGTCTCTAGCCGTCATGTTGATCGTCATGGCAACCTTAGTCTTCGCTTTGGCATTTGTAAATAAGGTATGCGTGTTACATTGGATAGTTAAATATAAAATAGTGTTAGTGGAGTCTGTTATATCAGTACTTGTGGGACGAGAGCGTCATGGATAAGTATTAGGTTCTGCGCATGTATATATGGATCCTCTTTCAAATAATGCGTTCAATCACAATGCATGCGATTTTCAGACAATGCATATCATTGTTATATGTCCCAATGCTTATAACTTTCCATTTCAATACGGTTCCTATAGCCATTACTAACGAATTTTCTATGACTTTGTTATGATATTAGTATGCAGGCAATAATAATGCCTTACAGCAAATCTCCCAGCGATTGAGCGAGAAGCTTGGATTGTACATGGCTGGATCCATGGTCGGCGAGTATACTAAGAGAATATTCAATGCATGGACAACATCAAGACAGGAGAGCATATCAACAACTAATAGAGATGAAAAAAGCAAACGCATCTCAATCGAGGGTTCGTCATCGTCAACATCATTCTCATCGTCTACGCTTCCAATACATAATACAACACAAAAAAAGGATCCTGCTACTCAACTATCAGCCTCACATAGACGGCAGAATTCTCGTTTAAAACCTCAAGTTCAAGACATTGATTTCGATCCAATACTAACTATAAATAATACCTCATCAATGCCGCCGATCGATTGCTACTCTTCGGGAGACAATCCATCCGTTGGTCATGATGATGGGAAAGCAACTTTCACTATTGATGTTGCTGAACCGGGGCATGCTGAAGTAGAAAAGGATGTTAGTGAAAATAATGATAACAATGATGCAGATGGTAGATATAATGACAGTGTCTGTGAAGATCATTCTAACATACAAACGCCGTCATTAAATCCCACTGAGCGACTCCAAATTGACGCGAATACAAGGGACACTTCTGTAACAGATGAAAAGGCATCTATTCAAACAAGTATAACAGCGCATTCCGATAATAACTATGCGTCGACCGACTATAGCATGATTACTCAGCATCAGGAAACTGATGGTGAGGTTGAAAGTATTATATCAGATGATCACTCTGAATCAAATTCAATTAGATCAGTTTCAGTACAGTCATCCCTTGAATCTAAGTCGTCTCCGCGATTAACTCAGGATGCCTCCGCTAAAAGACGCCGCCGAAGAAGAACGAGAGGCAAAGGAAACAAGCAAAGAGCGCATCATGGGCAACAACATCCAGACAATCAGAAGCAAGAAACTCAAATCGCACAATCAATTAAACATGATACCGGACAGCAATTGATAGATGTACAGAAATCATGTAGTATAAACGATAGCAGTAGAACGATCAATTATGCGTGGCATAAACGGCAAAAACCGCAACAAATACAAACGCAACAACAACAACAACAGCAGCAGCAGCAGCAACAACAACAACAACAACAACAACAACAACAACAACAACGACAACAACAGCAACAACAACAGCAACGGCAACAACAACAACAGCAGCAGCAGCAACAACAACAACAAAGACAGCAACAACAGCAGCAACAACAGCAGCAACAACGTCAGCAACAGCAAAATTATTCATCCTTATATCAATTGTCGGAGAAACGCTTATCCGCTGGATACCAAAGCACCGATATCAATATGAGCAGCAGTCGAAGGCATACCACTTTCCGCAGGTCACCCGATCCATTATGGAAGCCAAGCGTTCCTAGTCCGTCTCACAATCCTATAGGAACGTCTGCGTCACAATCGTCTATCAGGTATCCTTCATACGCTGATGTCATATCACCAAACAGCGATCGCACCAATCTCCCGATAACATTGTTTAACGGAATGACTGGCGCGTCACCCGAAATGACGACCACAGATCCAATAAAGCATAAAAGCAATACTAGTTCGAGTTCACAATGGTATTCGCCCTTTCAATCTGGTCTATCGATACAACTCACTCCGCCTGCTTCTCCGCCCGAAGCTCATAAGCAATTGCCCGGAACTGGGAAATGTGAATCTGTACCTACGTTTTCGTTCTTCTCTGGATTGTCTGGTACGTCATCCGCTTCGGGTAAAGACAAGTATCGCACAGATGTTCATTTCTCCTCTCAATATGTGCATTCAGGCAATGGATATGATTCCATATTGTCCAACACACTGAATACATTTACACCGTTTGCGAACAATGTTTTTGTCCAACCATCACCCATTAATCATTATGACACATCTGCTATCAATCAGTCGTTTACTGGTTCGTTTTTCAAACGACGCATGCCTTTGGTTGATCAGGAAAAAGGAGAATATTCGGGCGAAGATGACGATAATTTGCTATGGAATCCAGGAAAAGGGATACATGCCGGAGTGATGGATGAGCGAACTTGGAAAAAAGGGAGTACGAGATGGGATGCGAAGCCAGATGAAGGATTTATAAAACCCCGGGAGAGAAGTCGTAGAGGAAAAGAGAAACAATGGCAAGGACGTCATAACCATGGGGGTGATAAGCATCAAAGTGGAATTAGCGAGAGACGATCTAGTAATGATCAACAACGACCAAAGCAACAGCTCTTCCAAAGGTCGCATCTACGAGAGCCAAATTCTTTTTCTTTATTTGAAGACAAAAATAGATAAATCTGATCCTGCTGTGGCTTACAATATTTGGGTATCTTCTTCAATATTAGGTAATAATCATTGGCATCAGTAATAATTCCATTGATATAATGAATTCTTGATGTGGGTATTCCTACTTGTTTTATCTGTTACTCAAACCAATTTCTCTTTCTTAGTCTACCACAAACAAAAAGCGATTCTACTAATTTATCTTCCTGGTAGTAAGTACCCTGTTTTCTTTCTTATCATGTCTCGTTGAGGCAAAATTGAAAATGATCTAAATATTATAGTAGATATCTCTCTTCACAAATGAATATAAAGAAAGAATCTATTGGGTTGCTTCATGACAGAAATTAAAAAAATGGGTTTAGTCAGTAGTTACTTGTAAATCAACTTTTGCCGGTGAAATTGGAACATGTTCAAATCTGCCGTTTGGTAATGCTCTAATATGGAATTAGCTTAGTGTTACGTTCTGTTTGCGTTTCGCTGTGTAGCGGGAACTCATTGTTATAATCACATCCCACTCTACTGATTACGTTTTGCCAGACTGAAGTCTCTATTATCTTCGGGACTTACTATTTTTGAAAATACCCGTCAAACTTGTCAAACGTCCCAATAGCCACCTTTTTGCTGAACGTCCGAAGATCGAATATGACTTTATTGTTAAGTGAGTTTTTAACCTGATGCTACATAATCTACACTAAGTGCTGTAAGTACAATAAATACGGGACTAAGCCATCCATAATATAGAAATACAATTAATGGATAGTGGCATTGGGATATAACGGATCTGTGTCGCAGAGAGATAGCGTGCAGAACATAAGGATGTTAAATGTTGGGCGTTAGTGTGGTTTGGAAAAACGGCTGATATAAAATAATAACAATCGGTGACTATACAGGAAGAAAGGACACGGAAGTAGTTCACGTCATGTTGTAGCTTGCTTTAATTGTAGCAATAATGGTGAACGAGATACCAATTTTTAGGAAAAACAATCCCAGTTATTTTCTGGAAATTGTACATTTCACGTATCATATCCGGACATCAGCCATTTGCTTTTCGCGCAAACGCAACATTTCTTTTACCTCCCGCACAAAGCCGAGGCGGAGCGCGTAGTGATCTGATGCGGGATGCGTATATACAGCTAAGGAAGGTGGACTGTCCAATGGCCCCTCGCAAGGACAAAGCCGAGACGGGATATCACGTGATCCGATGTACGGATGTTGCGGGAAGCGGTTTCCTTCTTCTCCAACTGACCAATCATAAGTTTCTGAATACTTACCTTTTGAGCCCTGTAACAGAAACGATTTATATGACAGGCCCTGTCAAAGCCTTCAAACTCCGCAGATAAGCATGTTGATGATGTACGGGTTTTCTTCGATCAGCAAAGCCAAGGGGTTACTCGCAAGCATAAGAAAGCAAAATTCTCAATTTGAGTAAGGATCCTGGCTTGATAGTTGCTTGAAAGTATAGACCCTTTCATACCATATTTGTAAAACATGCGAGATAGCTAGGCATTCGGTCTAATTGTTTATTGCTTGATAATCTAACAATCTATCTGCAAAGCCATATGTATCCTTACTATTGGACCATGTAAATTTAAAGTTTGCGTTGCGATAGTTGATGCATATAACTAATTGATGCATATTAGTAAGAAAGGATTGGCTTGACAAGCATGTACTACCTTTTCTTACTTATGTTGTTCATCTGAGTGCCTTACAACTTCCAACTGATGGCAATAGATACAGACCTTCTAAACCTTCTTTCCCACACGTCTAAATGAAGCAACCCCCCATTGTACGTCTATGGTTTTTTTTTCGAGATGCAGGTGCAATTTGTTCGTTTGTACGAAATGCAGTTTGTTTGGAATACAAACACAATCAAACCACCCCCATTGTTTTCATATTGCGATTTCTTTGCGTGAGTAGTTGGTTTTTTTTTAAATTAATAACGTTCTTTACAAGTTTCCTTTAGCGTTAATTATTATTAATATTAAGCACAATCAAACCATCACCTATTATTTTCGTATTGCGTTTATATTAACGTTAAATTTTATTGATCATTATTGATGGACGATCTATTAACGTAGTACAAAATAGACATTTATATAAATATCTACTCGCAGCATTCCTAACTCTCAACAAATGGGTCACATAACACATCTTCCAGTCGAGCTTCTTCTTCTTCTCTTTACTTACCTTGACCTATCCTCAATAAACAACTTACGCATAACATGTCACCTTTTATACGTTCAGACTCCTAATAGGATTCGTTATCACACCTTAATACTTCCGAGGTCACTTCAACTCTCTAGCACTCTTACGCAATTCGCACTCTGGCGCAAGAATAACGCATTACCGTACATCAAAAATTTAGTAATAACAGGAGAAGGTACAATAACGCCAGCTTTAGCAGTCAACTTCCTCACCGCCTGTCCGAACCTAGAGAGGTTATCTATTAGTAACCATTCGACATTTAGCATAGACTATTTTGTGAATCTATTGGATAGCATTGGGCAACTGCGCAATGCATCAGTAATAAATAAACGACAATGGAAGTTACAGTCCATAGAGATAACGTATTGTGTTGGTGTTCATCAATACTCAAAGGACATATCGGTTCCTTTCCAGCGTTCAACAATAGCGGCGTTGGAGCGTAAACTATCTCAGCTCAAGCCACAGGACTCTGCTGCCGTCAGTACATTTGAAAATGACAGTCCACATCTTCAACCAGATTGCGAATTATCTTCGGCGCGCGTTGAGGTCATTATCCATGAGTGCAATCGGTGGACAGAATGCAATATATGCTATAAATTCTGCCATGTGTGTAGTAAGCATGTGTATGATTATCACATCAATTATCAATACTGTCAAATATGTGCGAAGCCTTTTTGTATTGACGGAGGTTGTGTAGCCAACATTGGAGAGGGAGACGTACAATGCAGGACTTGTATAAAGAGTGCCAGGAGTACGTGTCTCTTGTGCTGGGAACAGAACGACTGTCAAAGATGCGAGGAGGCTAGAAGAAAGTGTGAGAAGAGTAGAAGAGGAAGAAGGAGATTGGGAAGGAAAATTGGAAAGGTAATGTGTTCGGGAGGCCAACCTATTTGGTTTGAAGTCAACAAAATGACTCGCTCACAATTATCGACGTTAAAATGTTATTACGTAGATAATGTCACCGGTTGTACGATCTTTTCGACTGATGAGAAGAACATGACGACTACGAAAGACATATCTTGTATTATAATTTTATCACCCCGCTTCTTATTGAGATCAAGTTTGTATATTACCTTTGGCTCTGTAATAGTAAGTGACGATGGTGATGTATTTTAATAAAATATTCCTGTAAATATTTAAATAGAATTGACATTCTATCAGCCTGGATGAGGTTCAAGATTCAATGTGTAAACAGTACAATTATAACAAGCAATGGTTAATTGGAGTGAGTTAGTCGGTTATCTCTTGCATTGGCCTCTGATTCTTCTGAAATATGGTTCACCCGTAATAATGGTATCAAAATACTTTGATCATGCGAAGTTCGATTCACTGATACAAAGTACAGGTGTACCGCGATACTGCTCAGTTATATGTTTGTAAAGATGGTGTGGCATGATGTCGTATTGAGGTCTAACCACAGACTAAAATGTTGTGCAGGTTTAGAGTTTAGGTAATTAGATAATTTACAAAAACATAGTCTTAAATTCTACACGGCCTCATCGCTTTCAAATTTCTCTGTACAACTTTCACAAGCCTAGTGGAAATAACATAATTGTGTTATTTCCACTTAAGTGGTGTGATTCATTTTTTACGCCACACTCGAGGGTGGGTGTGCATTTTGGTTTTTATGCCACAGCGAACTATTATATATCGATGGTTGATTTCCGTCGTCAAACCATATTAATGTTCTGGACCAAATCAAAACTTAGCCCATTCTAAAACGGTCCAATTACCCCTTGGCCCATTTCATGATTCTGACTTGGGCCGGCCCATATCAAAATGTTACACGATTATTCGATGTGATGTGCGATTTTGTCACCCAACCAATACCATTAATCGATACAATTGTTACGTTTATTAGATAATCATAAGAGCAACAATAATATAATAAAGTTAAAATATTCGGATGCAAGCTTTAATTACATAAGTCGCTCGTGACATTCTCAGGGAAAAAAAAGAAAGAAATCGCGTACTTGTTATGCGAAACGTTGGCGGTTGTTTTCGTGTCTTGTTTTCGTGTCTTGTTTCGTTGATGATAAACGTTAACCAAATAAACGAAGAAGAAAAGTTTATAAATAATAGCCAATGGTCCCATTAAATTTTGAAGTTGCTCACTAAACTTTACTAAACTTCAATTAACGCTATACTAAAAACTAAAAATCATGTTCAATTTCGTCTCTGTCGAAACATTCAACCGTATTCTTGATGAGTACATTGCCTCATTACCATTGAATCGTCAAGCGAAGGCTTTAATTACACAGGAACTTGCTGATAAAGCCAAGTCAATTTTATTAAATGAAGAATCTACAAGTGATAGAAACTTACGCTATTGGTCACGCAAACATTTCTCGACTTTGGAGATAAACGATACTATACAGCTAGTAGACAAAGAGTCATTAAAAGTCGTTTGTCTGAAGAATGACTTGTATAATGTTATTGGTCGATTGCATCAAGAATTGCAACACGCAGGCTATCATAAAACATACAAAGCTGTAGGTTGGATAGTTAAACTAGTGTCGACGTCTATTATTACTCAATTTTAACCGCAAATTCTTTCCAAAGATTGTTGCTCAATATAGCTGCATACCTCGTGTTGTAGTACAAAAATTCGTTAATGCGTGTAATGTATGCGCAAATCGCCGTCAATTGTTAACACCATCCACTATACGGCCAATAATCGCACTAGAATTCATGTCACGTCTACAAGTAATAACAATAATTTGCCAACGTTAATTCAACCTCCTCCTGAATGATTAACTAAAACCTTGTAATGTCATTTATTATAGATTGATCTAATAGATATGCGTACGAGGCCAGATGCGGACTATAAGTGGATCGCACATGCCAAAGATCACTTTACCCGATATTCATGGGCTTGTCCACTTACCAACAAGGAAGCAAAATATGTGGCAGGCTTTCTATTAAGTATTTTCACACAATATGGTGCACCAACAATTTTGCAGTCCGATAATGGAAAAGAATTCGTGGCATCCATAATAAAAGAATTAGTTGCGCTTTGGCCATCAACGAAAATAATTAATGGTAGGCCACGCCACCCCCAATCGCAGGGATTGATTGAAAAAGGAAACGACGTATTAGAGGTGAAGCTGTCATCATGGCTTGAGGAGAATAGAAGAAGCGATTGGAGTACAGGATTGCCTTTTGTGATCTGTAAGGATGTAAAGCAATAGACATCAATATTATTTGACATTATTTAATTAATAACTGAATTTATACTGTAGGGGCGATCAATACGCAGGTGTGTAATGCTACTAAACAAACACCTTACCAGTTGGTGTTTGGACAAGCACCGCGGAGTATGTTAGCCCTAGTCGACATATTGTTCAGCCTAGGAATTCACGATGAAGAGGAATTGCCTGACGGCATGATTATAGATGATAGTTCGGATCAATCTATCGAAGGCAATGGAGAGAGAACAGTATACACCGACGAGAATATGACTACTGAGGTAGAGCAATCTACAGGAGAAAGAGACGTAAGTAGCAAGCAGTAGTCAAAATAACGCATTCCGTGTGATTACTAATACAAACGTAAAAATTTAGAGTGAAAGAGAGAATGTGAGTACTGGAGAAAATGCTGCCAGTGTTGAAGTTGATGGTAAGAAATTACGTTGTTCTCAACTTAAGAGTATCGATTGTGTTGCACTTTGTACTTAGATATACTATGGATAGATGAGACAAGACAAAATCATACTGTTTTACGTGAGTTGGCAGTCCAACAAGTTCAGCGTAATATGGACTTAATGAAAAATCTTGTGGATAATAAAAACAAGAGACGACGATTAGTATATGACATTGGCGACTGTGTTCGAATCAACATCCCTAGAATAGACAGAACGAGTGTAGACAGAAGATCGCTTCCCTGTAAAGTTCTGGAAGTTTTAGACGGAGGCTTGTATCGTCTTGGGTGTGCTCATGGCGTCTTAGAAAACTGCTATCAAGTATGTGAAATGGAGAGCGTTAGCGCCACATTCACCGAGCTGACAAGTATACCCGACAACAGAATATCGCTCACTCAAGCAGCAAGGCTCCAAAGTTCAGCAACAGTACAACGCTCAGTATGTTGCTGTAAAACTAATTGTAATACTAACCGCTGCCCTTGTAAGAGATCGGGTGTTGGGTGTGGCTCCAGGTGTCATCCTTCACAGTCAAAATGTATAAACAAATAGTCGTTTTTAATGATTACAGTATCTAATAAACGTAACAATTGTATCGATTAATGGTATTGGTTGGGTGACAAAATCGCACATCACATCGAATAATCGTGTAACATTTTGATATGGGCCGGCCCAAGTCAGAATCATGAAATGGGCCAAGGGGTAATTGGACCGTTTTAGAATGGGCTAAGTTTTGATTTGGTCCAGAACATTAATATGTGATATGACGATCCTAGCTGATTTCTTCCGTCAGACCACATGTAATATGAGGCATGCTGCAACAAAACCAGACAAAGTGAATATTTTATAAATGAGAGGCTGATTTGATGTGGCTGAAAGTTAACTAATTTGACTAATAATATTTTGATTATCACAGCAATAATGTATGCCAAATTTATGCAGCAAACTTCCATTATCCTAAAATTTATACATAAGGGGCAGACTGCAACAAAACCTGACAAAGTGAACATTTGATTATGTGACATAAATGAGAGGCTGATGATGATGTGGCTGTAAAACTGACCAGGGTAAGTGATGACGTTTTGAAAAGTAATAATGTATAATGGTGCTCATTCATAACTTATGGACTTATTAATGTTAATGCTCACTTTAACATACCAGAAGGTGAGGAATATAAACCATAACAGGAGTAATATAGGATTACCTCTATATATAAAAATATAATATAAAACTAATTTACATTAAATCCACTATGGAACCCAAAAATTACAGCACAATTAGAAGCATTCTAAAAAAAGCTCAAGGAGAGAAAATTGCTCCCTATGTTTTTGAAATCAATGATACCCAGACTCTACAGCAATATTTAGATCAAGAAAAAATTACTTATGAAATTTATCAAGAACAAAAAATAATAAATATTAATATTAAGAAGAGAAAGCAGGATAATGATGTACCATTACAAAATAAAAGGCAAAAATATCTGAACAAAGAATTTTAATACAAGCAAACTTACCATCTATTTCAGATTTTATTATTATTATTAATGAGATTTCTAAACACAATATTAATGCTTAATTCTCACTCTAATTTATAAAGTTCTCTTTTATTTTTAAACAGTTGTTTTGCTTTTTTTTTTCTTTTTTTTTTTTTCATTAACAGCAAATTTACTTCTCTTTCCGCTTTCCCCTTAGGTTATTGCCCACAAATTCTCGATTGGGTTTATATCCAGTGAGTAAGAGGGCCAATAGAATGCAAATGCTATGACGTTCAAACAGGTCAGTGCCTTGTGTTATCCTGTTGAAAACGAAACCGCTCTGGGACTGTAATACTAATTTCGTATTGGTTCAAACTTCGTTACGCTACGTGATATTTTCTGCACTGAATCAAAATTCCGGATATTTAGTTTATAAAGTGTCGGGAAAAAGTGTCTGTATAACTTGTCAATGTTAATTCAGCCGTCACAAAACAGAAACAAGTCGAATAAATCTGTTTGTAGCTGAGTAGTTAACTCTCTACTATATTAATGTATTAATTGTTTGTAAATTGGGATAAAAAATACTATTAAATTATAATAAATATTGCTTGACCTTGGGCCTAACTTCGTTTATTCCGAATTTCTTCGTTATACCGACTGTTTTAGTTAAGCTTATCGATCGAAGCTAAATCCCG